GTATGTGCATGCATGGTGGTCCCTCCCGGTATGTGCATGCATGGTGGTCCCTCCCGGTATGTGCATGCATGGTGGTCCCTCCCGGTATGTGCATGCATGGTGGTCCCTCCCGGTATGTGCATGCATGGTGGTCCCTCCCGGTATGTGCATGCATGGTGGTCCCTCCCGGTATGTGCATGCATGGTGGTCCCTCCCGGTATGTGCATGCATGGTGGTCCCTCCCGGTATGTGCATGCATGGTGGTCCCTCCCGGTATGTGCATGCATGGTGGTCCCTCCCGGTATGTGCATGCATGGTGGTCCCTCCCGGTATGTGCATGCATGGTGGTCCCTCCCGGTATGTGCATGCATGGTGGTCCCTCCCGGTATGTGCATGCATGGTGGTCCCTCCCGGTATGTGCATGCATGGTGGTCCCTCCCGGTATGTGCATGCATGGTGGTCCCTCCCGGTATGTGCATGCATGGTGGTCCCTCCCGGTATGTGCATGCATGGTGGTCCCTCCCGGTATGTGCATGCATGGTGGTCCCTCCCGGTATGTGCATGCATGGTGGTCCCTCCCGGTATGTGCATGCATGGTGGTCCCTCCCGGTATGTGCATGCATGGTGGTCCCTCCCGGTATGTGCATGCATGGTGGTCCCTCCCGGTATGTGCATGCATGGTGGTCCCTCCCGGTATGTGCATGCATGGTGGTCCCTCCCGGTATGTGCATGCATGGTGGTCCCTCCCGGTATGTGCATGCATGGTGGTCCCTCCCGGTATGTGCATGCATGGTGGTCCCTCCCGGTATGTGCATGCATGGTGGTCCCTCCCGGTATGTGCATGCATGGTGGTCCCTCCCGGTATGTGCATGCATGGTGGTCCCTCCCGGTATGTGCATGCATGGTGGTCCCTCCCGGTATGTGCATGCATGGTGGTCCCTCCCGGTATGTGCATGCATGGTGGTCCCTCCCGGTATGTGCATGCATGGTGGTCCCTCCCGGTATGTGCATGCATGGTGGTCCCTCCCGGTATGTGCATGCATGGTGGTCCCTCCCGGTATGTGCATGCATGGTGGTCCCTCCCGGTATGTGCATGCATGGTGGTCCCTCCCGGTATGTGCATGCATGGTGGTCCCTCCCGGTATGTGCATGCATGGTGGTCCCTCCCGGTATGTGCATGCATGGTGGTCCCTCCCGGTATGTGCATGCATGGTGGTCCCTCCCGGTATGTGCATGCATGGTGGTCCCTCCCGGTATGTGCATGCATGGTGGTCCCTCCCGGTATGTGCATGCATGGTGGTCCCTCCCGGTATGTGCATGCATGGTGGTCCCTCCCGGTATGTGCATGCATGGTGGTCCCTCCCGGTATGTGCATGCATGGTGGTCCCTCCCGGTATGTGCATGCATGGTGGTCCCTCCCGGTATGTGCATGCATGGTGGTCCCTCCCGGTATGTGCATGCATGGTGGTCCCTCCCGGTATGTGCATGCATGGTGGTCCCTCCCGGTATGTGCATGCATGGTGGTCCCTCCCGGTATGTGCATGCATGGTGGTCCCTCCCGGTATGTGCATGCATGGTGGTCCCTCCCGGTATGTGCATGCATGGTGGTCCCTCCCGGTATGTGCATGCATGGTGGTCCCTCCCGGTATGTGCATGCATGGTGGTCCCTCCCGGTATGTGCATGCATGGTGGTCCCTCCCGGTATGTGCATGCATGGTGGTCCCTCCCGGTATGTGCATGCATGGTGGTCCCTCCCGGTATGTGCATGCATGGTGGTCCCTCCCGGTATGTGCATGCATGGTGGTCCCTCCCGGTATGTGCATGCATGGTGGTCCCTCCCGGTATGTGCATGCATGGTGGTCCCTCCCGGTATGTGCATGCATGGTGGTCCCTCCCGGTATGTGCATGCATGGTGGTCCCTCCCGGTATGTGCATGCATGGTGGTCCCTCCCGGTATGTGCATGCATGGTGGTCCCTCCCGGTATGTGCATGCATGGTGGTCCCTCCCGGTATGTGCATGCATGGTGGTCCCTCCCGGTATGTGCATGCATGGTGGTCCCTCCCGGTATGTGCATGCATGGTGGTCCCTCCCGGTATGTGCATGCATGGTGGTCCCTCCCGGTATGTGCATGCATGGTGGTCCCTCCCGGTATGTGCATGCATGGTGGTCCCTCCCGGTATGTGCATGCATGGTGGTCCCTCCCGGTATGTGCATGCATGGTGGTCCCTCCCGGTATGTGCATGCATGGTGGTCCCTCCCGGTATGTGCATGCATGGTGGTCCCTCCCGGTATGTGCATGCATGGTGGTCCCTCCCGGTATGTGCATGCATGGTGGTCCCTCCCGGTATGTGCATGCATGGTGGTCCCTCCCGGTATGTGCATGCATGGTGGTCCCTCCCGGTATGTGCATGCATGGTGGTCCCTCCCGGTATGTGCATGCATGGTGGTCCCTCCCGGTATGTGCATGCATGGTGGTCCCTCCCGGTATGTGCATGCATGGTGGTCCCTCCCGGTATGTGCATGCATGGTGGTCCCTCCCGGTATGTGCATGCATGGTGGTCCCTCCCGGTATGTGCATGCATGGTGGTCCCTCCCGGTATGTGCATGCATGGTGGTCCCTCCCGGTATGTGCATGCATGGTGGTCCCTCCCGGTATGTGCATGCATGGTGGTCCCTCCCGGTATGTGCATGCATGGTGGTCCCTCCCGGTATGTGCATGCATGGTGGTCCCTCCCGGTATGTGCATGCATGGTGGTCCCTCCCGGTATGTGCATGCATGGTGGTCCCTCCCGGTATGTGCATGCATGGTGGTCCCTCCCGGTATGTGCATGCATGGTGGTCCCTCCCGGTATGTGCATGCATGGTGGTCCCTCCCGGTATGTGCATGCATGGTGGTCCCTCCCGGTATGTGCATGCATGGTGGTCCCTCCCGGTATGTGCATGCATGGTGGTCCCTCCCGGTATGTGCATGGTGGTCCCTCCCGGTATGTGCATGCATGGTGGTCCCTCCCGGTATGTGCATGCATGGTGGTCCCTCCCGGTATGTGCATGCATGGTGGTCCCTCCCGGTATGTGCATGCATGGTGGTCCCTCCCGGTATGTGCATGCATGGTGGTCCCTCCCGGTATGTGCATGCATGGTGGTCCCTCCCGGTATGTGCATGCATGGTGGTCCCTCCCGGTATGTGCATGCATGGTGGTCCCTCCCGGTATGTGCATGCATGGTGGTCCCTCCCGGTATGTGCATGCATGGTGGTCCCTCCCGGTATGTGCATGCATGGTGGTCCCTCCCGGTATGTGCATGCATGGTGGTCCCTCCCGGTATGTGCATGCATGGTGGTCCCTCCCGGTATGTGCATGCATGGTGGTCCCTCCCGGTATGTGCATGCATGGTGGTCCCTCCCGGTATGTGCATGCATGGTGGTCCCTCCCGGTATGTGCATGCATGGTGGTCCCTCCCGGTATGTGCATGCATGGTGGTCCCTCCCGGTATGTGCATGCATGGTGGTCCCTCCCGGTATGTGCATGCATGGTGGTCCCTCCCGGTATGTGCATGCATGGTGGTCCCTCCCGGTATGTGCATGCATGGTGGTCCCTCCCGGTATGTGCATGCATGGTGGTCCCTCCCGGTATGTGCATGCATGGTGGTCCCTCCCGGTATGTGCATGCATGGTGGTCCCTCCCGGTATGTGCATGCATGGTGGTCCCTCCCGGTATGTGCATGCATGGTGGTCCCTCCCGGTATGTGCATGCATGGTGGTCCCTCCCGGTATGTGCATGCATGGTGGTCCCTCCCGGTATGTGCATGCATGGTGGTCCCTCCCGGTATGTGCATGCATGGTGGTCCCTCCCGGTATGTGCATGCATGGTGGTCCCTCCCGGTATGTGCATGCATGGTGGTCCCTCCCGGTATGTGCATGCATGGTGGTCCCTCTTGGTATGTGCATGCATGGTGGTCCCTCTCGGTATGTGCATGCATGGTGGTCCCTCCCGGTATGTGCATGCATGGTGGTCCCTCCCGGTATGTGCATGCATGGTGGTCCCTCCCGGTATGTGCATGCATGGTGGTCCCTCCCGGTATGTGCATGCATGGTGGTCCCTCCCGGTATGTGCATGCATGGTGGTCCCTCCCGGTATGTGCATGCATGGTGGTCCCTCTTGGTATGTGCATGCATGGTGGTCCCTCTCGGTATGTGCATGCATGGTGGTCCCTCCCGGTATGTGCATGCATGGTGGTCCCTCCCGGTATGTGCATGCATGGTGGTCCCTCCCGGTATGTGCATGCATGGTGGTCCCTCCCGGTATGTGCATGCATGGTGGTCCCTCCCGGTATGTGCATGCATGGTGGTCCCTCCCGGTATGTGCATGCATGGTGGTCCCTCCCGGTATGTGCATGCATGGTGGTCCCTCCCGGTATGTGCATGCATGGTGGTCCCTCCCGGTATGTGCATGCATGGTGGTCCCTCCCGGTATGTGCATGCATGGTGGTCCCTCCCGGTATGTGCATGCATGGTGGTCCCTCCCGGTATGTGCATGCATGGTGGTCCCTCCCGGTATGTGCATGCATGGTGGTCCCTCCCGGTATGTGCATGCATGGTGGTCCCTCCCGGTATGTGCATGCATGGTGGTCCCTCCCGGTATGTGCATGCATGGTGGTCCCTCCCGGTATGTGCATGCATGGTGGTCCCTCCCGGTATGTGCATGCATGGTGGTCCCTCCCGGTATGTGCATGCATGGTGGTCCCTCCCGGTATGTGCATGCATGGTGGTCCCTCCCGGTATGTGCATGCATGGTGGTCCCTCCCGGTATGTGCATGCATGGTGGTCCCTCCCGGTATGTGCATGCATGGTGGTCCCTCCCGGTATGTGCATGCATGGTGGTCCCTCCCGGTATGTGCATGCATGGTGGTCCCTCCCGGTATGCGTTATAATTCCATAAACATTCTGTGCATGCTATGTGTGCAAAGTTTACTCCTGTTACGAGCATGCACTGTGGTATCTGCCAGTATGTGTTGTCATTCCATGCTGATTCCGGTATGCGCACCAAGTGCATTTCATGTGCTCTCTCACACCACAAACATGCATGGCGGTTGCTTCCAGTTTGTGTTGTCACTCCACCGACGTGCGCATTCCCCCCTCCCCTCCCCGACCCCCGCTTCATGCTCCCGCTCCCGAGCCCTGATTCCGTCTGTGCACCTTCCAGGATGCTTCTCTTCTCCACACGCTCTCAGGCCCCGCCCATCGCATCACCGCTCTCACTCTCGCCAATACCGCGGCGCCACGTGGCACCAGCACAGCCACTAGCTACGGCCATTTGCTCGTGTGCGGAGACTATGGAGGGTCTTTCCACGCCTGGGACATCTCTCACTCTCTTCCTCCTCCCCATCATTCTCATCGTCACTCTCCTCCTCCTCCTCATGGTTCGGCTCCTACCCACCCTTTCCTCCCACCTACTGTCTCCTCGGCCCTTCCGTCCGCCCCTCCTCTCCCTTCCTGCCCCTCGTTTCTGGTTCCCTCGGCGCCTGCTCTCCCCGCCAACCCAACCCATCCTGCGTCCACCCCCCATCTGGTTACCACATCGGTCACTGCACCTGTACCTGCGCCACACCTGGTTACCACATCGGTTACACTTCCCGTACCTGCGCCATGTCTGGTTACCACGTGGAGTGAGGAGAAGGATTGGCGATACTCAGGCGTGCTGTCATTGGCTGCGCCGCAATTAGGTGATTATAACGATGATGACGGTGCAGCAGCAGCTCGTGACTGTAACGAGTATGTGGTGTACAGTGGGAGTGGCGACCCCACTGTCAAGGCCTGGGCTCCCAATGCTGATGTGAGTGGATTCTCTCTCCTTCCACAACTTCTTCACCCTCTCTTCCTTCACCCTCTCTTCCTTCACCCTCTCTTCCTTCACCCTCTCCTCCTTCACCCTCTCCTCCTTCACCCTCTCCTCCTTCACCCTCTCCTCCTTCACCCTCTCCTCCTTCACCCTCTCCTCCTTCACCCTCTCCTCCTTCACCCTCTCCTCCTTCACCCTCTCCTCCTTCACCCTCTCCTCCTTCACCCTCTCCTCCTTCACCCTCTCCTCCTTCACCCTCTCCTCCTTCACCCTCTCCTCCTTCACCCTCTCCTTTTTCACTCTCTCCCTCACCCTCTCTTCCGTCCCCCTCTCGTCTTTCACCCTCTTTTCCTTCGCCCTTTCTTTGTTCATCCCTTTTCATCCTTCCCCTTTCTCCACCTCTGCTTCACCCCTCTCATCTCCTCCGCTCATTCTTGCCTCCTTTGCTTGCAAACAAAATTGTTCCCGCCCACCCACTTTCCCTCCCCCCCATTTCCCCCTTCCCAACTTCCCCTCGCCCCCCTTCCCCTTTCCTCACCTCCCAATAACAACCCCACCTCTTCCCTCCCCCTCCCCTCTTCCCCCCTTCCCCTCCCCTCCCCTCCCCCATCTCCTCCCCAGGGCTCGTTCTCCCTACTAGCTCGTATGGAGGGGCACACAGCTCCTGTCTCCTCCCTTCAGGTGGATTCTCAGGTGGTTGTCAGCGGATCCTGGGACGGCACCGTTCGTCTCTGGTGGCGGCCGGACCACTCCCCCATGGCCGTCCTCGTTTGTAGCAGCCCCACTACCAGCACAAAATCTCTCGGAAGCAGCATGGGCGCGGGTGGGAGTGCGAGTGTGGGAGTGAGTGTGAGTGTGAGTATGGGAGTGAGTGTGAGTGTGCGAGCAGTGGTGGTGGATGAGGAGGGGGATTTGATCCTGTGCGCAAGGGAGGATGGGCGGGTAGAGGTGTGGCATGGCAGCAGCAGCATCATGCTCTTGACTCCCAACCATGCCATGCCTGTGACATCTGGCAGGGGCAGCAGCAGCAGAGTTAGCAGCACCAGCACCACTGGTAAAACCACAGGCACTGCCACCACTGCCACCAGCAGCAGCAGCAGCAGCAGCAGCAGCAGCAGCAGCAGCAGCAGCAGCAGCAGCAGCAGCAGCAGCAGCAGCCGCAGCAGCAGCACTATCACGGATGATTCGTCTCCGCTGCCAGCGCTGCTATCGCTGGCAGTGTGCCGCCCGCTTCTGGCTGCAGGCGCTGCTGATGGCTCCATCATGGTATGGACGGATGTGCGGTGCTGTGGGGTGTGGTGCTGTGGGGTGCGGTGGTGTGGATGTGGTGGTGGTGTGGAAGGATGATGGTGGCATGGATGGTGGGACAGGTGGTGTGTCTGATGTTGTGCCCCATGCGCTGCTCTTCTTTGTGTTATCCCATGTGGTTGACGTGATTCTGGCAGTTATGCATGTCCCCATGCCATGCCCACATTTTTAGACTTCTTAATATTGATTCAACCATGCCCACGCTGACTCCCATCACCCGTTTCCTCCGAGCCTTCATATTTCATACTACCATTCTCGTCATCAGCATTGTCACTTCGGTACCACCTCCCACCATTCTCCCTGCACACTTTATACGAATCATTCATCTATGAATCTCTAACTTGTTCTCTGCATACGTCAATCAAAATCTCGTCTCCCCTGCCCTGCACACCCTGCAATACCCCTTCACCCCACCAGCTATGATGAAAGCGGCTCACACACTCTGCCCTCTTCCCTCTGCCCTGCACACCCTGTCGTGCCCCTTCATCTCATCAGCTATGGCACATGCATGGGTATGGCGCTGATGTCAGCATCACCCCATGGAGGCGAATCTCACATGCCCAACCACAGTCACACATGCAGGGGCCTTGCACTGCCCTCGCCTTTGCTCCTTCCAATGCTGCCACCGCTGTGGCTGCTGCTGCTGCTGCTGCTGCTGCTACGAGCGACACCATGGGCCCTGGCAGCAGTGCGTGGGGGGGTGACCTTGCGGCCCTGCTGCTGCTGTCGGGAGGTTTTGATGGCCGGCTGTACGTGTGGCCGTGTCTAGAGCTGAATGAAAGGTGATTGTGATTCCCTGGACAGGACAGCTTTTGAGAAATCCCAAGAATTCGGGAGTCACTGGCCGTGTTTGGAGTGCAAGGTGGCGGTGACTCCCTCCCTGGGAGGGACCCCTAGTTCTTAGATTATTCTCATGTCCAACTCGTCGCAGCAAGTGCACACTTTGCTTGGTACTGTAATGCCATGCGTGCCACGTGATACTGTATGTCATCACACTGCACCTCAACGTGCTGCTCCCCACCATGTTGCACCGCATTGCACTTCCATGTCCGCAACCTGACACGATTGTTGTCATGGAGTTGTGTTTTTTTGGCATGTAATGTAATCTTGGCCCCACTCACCTCCACCCGCTTGCAAAGTGGCACTGCATCAATATCATTTTGCCTTACGTTGTCTACGCAGTTCATACCAGTGTCTCCAATCCTGCCCACGCCAATTGGTGTTTGCGTGCTTTAGCGTTGCAAATTGTGTACCGCTAAGTGTTTTAGCGTCACATGTGCAGGTCCCGGTATGGAACACATGAACTGCAAACTGAACGATGCAAACCAAGCATTACAAGACAAGCCACAACAGAGGAACAAACACAAGGCCTACAGACTAAAAGCAGAGCGGTCGGGAAAGGCTTTGTTAACATCACTCTCAGCTACGGTAGAACCATTCAAAAGCCGATTAGCAGCCAAGCCAGCCAGTAGCACAGCCTTGCAGTGTAATGGCGAGCAGAAGAATAGAGGAGGGAGGTACGGTAGGAGAGCGCAGGAATAGAGGAGGGAGAGGAACAGAGGAGGGAGTGAGGGGAGAGCGGAGGAATGATGGAGGGTGAGTGGGGTGACTGGACCAGGGTTGTAACCACTTGATCCAGCCAAAAGTGGGGTGTTGGCCGTTAAGAGTCAGATGATTCAGCAGCCAGATAGATAGCAGCCAGTCAGGCAGCAGCCAGTAGCACAGCCAGTAACACAGCCAGCACGGCCAGCAGCACAGCCAGCAGCAAGCCAGCAGAGGAAAAATGGAGGGTGGGGCGACTGACCCAGGTTTGGGAACGGTGGGTCCAGCCAAAAGTGGGAGCGATGCTGAGCCGCTAGGCAGAAGACGACTTTTGAGTTGACTCAAAGATGACTTTTTAGGCGTGTTTTAAGGGTTCTGAGAGGCCTCGAAACTTAGAAGTGGGGTTGATGAGCCGCTAGGCAGAGGATTCTTTGGTCGACTCGGAAAGTGACGACTGCCGTGAGGCAAAAGTGGGGAGGATGGGATGGGAGCGTAGCCAATGGTGGGAGTGATGGCACGACGGCAAGGAAAGGAGAGGAAGCAGGAAAGGAGCGAGGAGGGGTGTGTGTGATGATGGTGTTGCTGCCGCTGCTGCTGCTGGTGGTGGTGGTGGTAGTGATGATGATACTGCTGGTGCTGATGATACTGCTGGTGATGATGATACTGCTGGTGATGATGATACTACTAGTGATGATGATACTGCTGGTGCTGATGATGCTGCTGGTGATGATGATACTGCTAGTGATGATGATGCTGCTGGTGCTGATGATGCTGCTGGTGCTGATGATGCTGCTGGTGGTGGTTCGGGAAGCGATGGTGGACGGTGGTGGCGATGTCAATGCGTTAGAAGCAGCTGGGGACAGTCATGCTGCTGGCGACGATGGTGATGCTCGGAGGGGAAAAAAGGCCATCAAATTGGATTGGATTGGATTGAAGGATGCAGGCGAGCAGCAGCGGCATGTGCTACTGCAGAAAAAAACCATCGTTTCGTCCATTAGTCCATACATCCGTCCGTCCATCCGTCCATCCGTCCATTCATTGAACCATCCTTCCATCCATCCGTCCATTCATTGAACCATCCTTCCATCCATCCAACCATCCATCCATCCATGTACAGAGGATGCTGCTGATTGAACCATGCGAGTGAGAGAAAAGAAACAGGTGGGAGGTGGCACTGAGCAAGTGGAGCGACAGGGGGAATAGGACAGCACTCGCGAATGCCAAGGCTGCTGCTGCTGCTGCTGCTGACCGTCCCACACAAAGAACGTGGGTTGCTGAAACAGACTGCCGCGAGATTTGACCCATCTGTCCATCTGTCACATGGGCAGCGCCAAAAAAAAAAGAAATGATCTTCGAGTCACGTGACTTGGAAACACGCAAAGCAGAAGTAGTGCCTGGTGACAACGACGGTCGCACGACGCTTGTTACGCCACTGGTTACGCCACTGGGTACGCCACTGGTTACGCCACTGGGTACGCCAGTTTGTTACGCTGCTGGCTACACCGCTGGTTCCGTTGCTGGTTTCGCCGCTGGTTACAGAGTCAGCACGTGCTCGAGCAGATTGGCCTTCTCAGCCTGCAAGTTGCGGATTTTGGCCTTTAGTGCGTCAATGTACGTCAGCGTCTCGCACAGCAGCGTCTCCGTGGTGATGCGCGGATTGCACAGCGGAATCGCCGCCTTCAGCTGCTCCAGACGGTGGCTGCAGCGCGGGGAAGAGGGGAAAGGGGGGAGGGGAGGGGGAGGGACACAGAGGGGAGAAGAAAGGATTCGTTGGAGAAGGCAAGTTTGGAAAGTTGATGGGCGACAACGCGGAAGAGGGAGGGAATATGTGGAGAAAGGGCGTCGATAAGGACAGCGCGCACGGCGGACAGCGCGCACGGCGGACAGCGCGCATGGCGAACAACGCGCGTGAAAAACATTGCGTACGGCTGCAGACTGTGCGCATGGCGCGGGGATGACGACCATCGCACGCCTCATCTTTCGTGTCCGCCATACCTGATATTGTTCCGCCTCTTCCGCTCCGCCACTGTGCGCGGACGCACCGAGCGTGCAGCATCTCCCCCCAGACCGTCCAGGTCCAGTCCCGACCCCAGCGCGCCCGCGCTGCGCTTCATCCCCGCCCTGCCCGCTCCGCCGGTTCCGCCGCTGCTCCCCCCCCGTTCCCCTGGACTACAGTTCCCCGCGGGACTGTCATCCCCCGCCCCCCCCGCGCCTCGCTGTTGCTCCGGGCAGGTCTCTACGTTGCTGTCGCCGGAGCTGTCGCCGGCAGTGTGCTGATCGTCGCGCGTACGACGCCGGGCGTGGTCGTCGTTCGCGTCGTTCTGCAGCGTCGCACGATGGCGATGGTTTTCGCGAGTAAAATCGTCGTCGCGACATTCCCCGCCGGGTGACCCGCCGATTGTCCGCATTCCGACACTCAGCTTCAATTCCGCCGCCTCCGCCGGCCCCGCTGCCGACGCGCCAAGGTCCCGACCGATCGAACCGCGTCTTGGGGAGAGAGTGAGACCCGCAGACGCGCCGACAGCTCCGGCGACGCCGGCAGGAGTGCCGAAAGCGGCGGCGCCGGTTGCGCGAGCGATGTCGCGGAGAACGGCTTGCTGAAGCGCCGCCGCGGCCGACGAGCCGAGCGCGCCGCGTGCTGCGGTGTAATCAAGTCTGGCTCCGTGTAACCCGGCGGCGGCGGCGGTGCCATCTTGCTGACGGAAATTGCGGGCGAAGGACGGGAGGTTGGCGTATTGCTGGAGCAGCGCGGGCAGAAGCGCCTGCGCCTGCACCTGCGCTGCTTGCGCCGCCGCTTGAGTCTGTGCAGGTGGCGGTTGCTGCTGCTGCGCCTGCTGCTGCTGCTGCTGCATCCCAAATCGAACTAGCGGCTGGAGCGCCAAAATTGCCTCGTCCATTCTCATTCCACCGCCACCCCCGCCGCCATTTGCGGGGACTTGAAATCCGCCGTTTAATGCGGCAGTTGCTGCGGCAGTGGTGTTTGGGGCGGCTGCAGTTTGACCCGCGGCGCTTGCAACGCCGGCAAGCTCGGCAAGCAGGCTCGGGGAGAGGTTAGGCGGGAGGTTCGACAACAAGCCGTTGTTAGCATGGAGTTTCGTGCGCGCGTCGAGCGACGCTTTGAACGCCGCAAGGGACGCAGGCGGAGAGAAAAACGGTTTTCCCGCATGATCCGTCGCCGCAGGTGCCGCTGCAGCAACCACGGCGGCGGCCATCGCGTGATCAGCGAAACTATGAGGCGCAGCCGCGCGAAACGCGACGGGGGAAGGCGAGACTGTTAATGGGCCCGGTTCGTTCTGCCCTGCTATTTTATTGTTAGAAAGCTCAAATTTCTCTCGCGGCGGGGGTTCATTCCGCGGCGCTGAACCAGGCGGCTCGGCTGCCGAGCCAGGGCACGCGAGCTCCAGAAGCGTGTCGGCCATTTTGGAGAGAAATCACACAAGAAAGTACATGAGGCGATGAAACTGAAGATAATCGCACCTTCAGGCTCAAACGCAGGGATCAAGAAGGAGCGGTGGATGGTTTTTGCAAGAAAAGCTTGTTGAGTGACGAATTTGAGGTGAGTGACGAGTTATTCTGGTAAGGAGAGCAAGCGTGCTACCCATCCGCTTTTTTTAGTCGCTGCTTGCCAGCCAGCCACGGCCACTGGGATGAAAAGGGAGGTGAGTTCGGGAAGGGAGGGGGGGGGGCTGTGCGGGGATGCGGGCGGGAAACAAGGTGGAATGGGGAAGGTCAAGGGGGGATGATGGGGGTTGTTGGGTTGAACATAGGCTACAGTGATTGATTGACACCACTTGCTGACAGCGGGGGTAGTTTACCCAACTTGACTGCCCATGCCCTGCCACGACAGAGAAGCATACGAGGAAGCAGCACGGGGGTGTGGGGGAGCTTGGCCCTAGTGGGGAAACGCGGGTTTGGTTTGGAGTGTTGATTTTCATGGAGTGTTGCGTAAGCTCATGGGAGTTTGTCGAAAAGGAAAGGGGGTGGATGGGCGGGGAATTTGAAGTTTTGCCAGCAGTGTCTCCCTCGGGCGCCTGTGTCAGTCCAGCAGGCGCGGGGGAGCAAAGATGTGCCACGCGCACCTTGCGCTGGCGGGAGTGACAGTGGCATGAATTGGCATCACGCTGGCGTGCGACCTCAAGTGTTCTGCTTTCTTCCCTTAGGTTTGGTGATTCGCCATTGTACTGTAAGACGACGACGAAGACGACAGACACACCCTCTAGATTGCCTGAGCTGAAGGACAGCACAATTTGTCATCTAATATTCTCGCCGGTTGATGGCAAAGCATGAAGGGGCTGCCTTTAAAAAAAAAAGTCAATTGACAGAAAAAGTTCACGCTGGTGTTTACAACTATGCGGTTCTACGTGTGTACCTGATCTCAAGAGTACAAGTAGAGGCATTTAAAAACTCCACTGGATGCATCCACCCCGTTCCGTTGATCTCGAAATATGGGTGACACCACTGCAGGGGAGATACCTCATGTGAGATGTTTGCTGTGCCTGCTCACAGCCTCACACGCGACAAAGAGTACCTCAGCTGCGATGATGAGCCAACATGTTCACTGCACAAGCGTCACCGTCGGCATCACTTGCTTGCTTTGACCACTTTTGATTCGACAAATGTGAACGATGGATCTTCAGAAAACAACTGTACAGTTCCGCCACGACTGGAAATGCATGTGCAATTGCACAATTTGGGTAAGTTTTCTATTCTCGAAATTAGAAAACATTATGTGGAAAGTGCTGGGCAGTAAGAAAAATCACTTGTGGATTGCTAACATCTGTTCTGTTCTCTGCCACCCTACTCCATCAGCCAAAATTATAAACAGTGAAAAACAGACTCAACGTAACGTTAACGCGTTATTTCGAACCCGTGTTCAGCTGTTCACACTCACAAACCTGCTGCTGAAGTGGCTAGCTAGCAGCTCTAGCGACACTGCCAAAACCAAGGAGCAGCGCATCTTTGGAGATTTCTGCTGCCGAGCCAATTCAAGCTCACGCACCGCTAGCCTCTGTGCACGTGCCCATTTTTTCATAGTGCAACTGCCTCCACCTCATCACCACCACCGCCACCAGCCTTCCCGCCCACTCCAGTGGACAAGTTATGGATGGCATACAGTGCGACATTGCACCAAAAGGGGTGTCCACCACATCCAAGGAGGGCCGGGTCAGCATGTTTTGGGAGAACGTGTAGACTCGGTTCGGAAGATTTTCAATGACTGCGGATCAACCGGAAGTTTTTTCAGAACACTGGGACGCAACTGCCCAAAGTGTGGAGAGGGTGGGGGGGAGCGGCTACCCCAGCTCTGCCTGAACAGAAAATCAGCATTGTACCTTTTCCTTTGCTCATTTTCGCACTCCCAAATATACAACCGCACAAGCATTGCATTTTTACCGTGACAACAATACATCATAATTTCTCCATGCATTTACGTTGTTCGTGTCGTGTGACTTCCGTCATCCCTGGGACAACCTCCCGGTATGTGCATGCATGGTGGTCCCTCCCGGTATGTGCATGCATGGTGGTCCCTCCCGGTATGTGCATGCATGGTGGTCCCTCCCGGTATGTGCATGCATGGTGGTCCCTCCCGGTATGTGCATGCATGGTGGTCCCTCCCGGTATGTGCATGCATGGTGGTCCCTCCCGGTATGTGCATGCATGGTGGTCCCTCCCGGTATGTGCATGCATGGTGGTCCCTCCCGGTATGTGCATGCATGGTGGTCCCTCCCGGTATGTGCATGCATGGGAGGCTGCAAACAGTGCAGTATACTGTACACGTAGTGGTGGGCCATAGATACAGTGTTGGGTGGACACAACACAACACTAGCCCATAAAAAGGACAGCGAGCAATATTCGACCACGACAATGCTAGTAAGACAAAAATGGTCCCACCAACGCGGATCCCACCCACCGCTACCACATGCGCTCATTGCCGAACCACATGGTCCAGCCTAAGGTGAAACCCACTTAATTTTCATTACGGGATGACTGGCTGTTGGCGCAACAAAAGGGGTGAAACTCGCTGTACCTATCGCCTGCCTTCGACACCGTTGGCAGGTGCGGAATGTTGGTGACACTTATGAGAATGGGAGAGATTGTTGTGGTGTTTCTTGTGTTGTGTTTGGATGGCGTTTTTAATCGAACGTTTCTTTATCTCGGAGTCGAATGCTATATTGTGTCCTTTTTGCTGGGCGATAGAAGAACAGCCGACCGAAACATGCAGGTTGTAGCCTCTGCTCTACTTAGGGCTCAATATTGATGATCTTGTAGCTGGACAGTTGGCACCTACCGATCTGTAGAGGCTGCATGAATGCAGACGCATGGCTCAATAGCCTGCTTACGGTATAAACAAGTTTGGCCATCGCACTCCCGATAATTGGACGTCTCAAAAGTTGTCTCGGGGCAGTATCCCGGTCTCCTGAGCGCTTCTGACAGCAGCACCACTTCCACAGTCTCCTCCGTACAGCTCATCCATTTGGGTGCCGCTCCCTCGGCTGTAATTATTTTTGGCGGCACCTGTATCCTGGGTTCCTGCGTCCTCTGTATTCTAACACTCTGCCGGCCATCCCTCTAGCCAGGTTTCACCAGTATCCTGCACTTCCTGGAAGCATCGCCACTTCCACCGACGACTCCTTTGCACAGGGCATCCATTCAAGTGCCCCTCCCTCGGCTGTCATTATTTCTTAGACGACTCAGAAGTCCTATTTTGAGACGTTTCAAAAGCCCTGGCAGCAGCACCACTTCCACCGGCTCCTTCACTGCGTCGCATATGGGTACCCGCCCCTCGGCTGTCATAATGAGCATCCCCTGTTCCACCAAAAGTCCAGCCCCTGCCTTCCCTTCAGCCGGGGCACACTAGGTCATCCGCATTAGAAAGAGATATTCAGGAACAGAAGACCGTCATGCATAATTCTCTTCGCTAACCTTAATCTCTCAGCTCAGTGCGCAGAGGCAGACGAATGGTTTCGAATCCGAAGCTCCTGATCCAAAGCAGGGTCCATCTTCCCAGGCGGTTTACTTGCTTCAGCCACCTCCTGTACAGGCCATTCGACAGCACATGGTTACCACGGGAACACAATCACAGGAAAGACCGATACAAGCTTCTCATGAGAAGCGGGGTTGACCATGGTCCACCAAAGATGCGATGCTGCTCCGAGAAGGAGTTGGAGCAATAAGTGGCTAGGGCAATTCACCCAGTCACAAAATCACCTGCAGCGAATCATAAGGCAGCAACTCAAGATGATCCCTCATCCTCGCACACTCACTTGTGCAGGACCATTCACCCATTCACACACCTCAGCGGCCCGTCTTGCATCTTCCAAAACGTCCACATCGCGGTTCAGCCGCACGAGCTTGAATCCCAACAAACACCCAACCTATTCGGCGGGTTCCGCCCCCGTTTCCTGATTCCACGGCCATCCCAGTGCCGTCGATTTTCAGGCTGCGTTCTGTTGGCGAACAAGCCATTTGCGACTGCCGCACATGTACTGCAGGCTGTGTTTTCCTCATCAGAATGCCCACATCACGGCCCAGCATCAGCAGGTTGAACCCGAATGAACAGCCCCCGTTAACACCCCAGGGCCCTTTACCAACCCCCACACACCTCAGCAGCCTGCATGGCTTCATTCAAAATGTCCACATCTCGGTCCAGCCGAGCCAGGTTCAACCGCGGCAGCCGCCCCGACTGCGTTCTTCCCAGCCGCTTCCCAATCAACACCAATAGCCATGAACCATCACCCCAGCAACCTCTTCTCACCCCAGCAACCTCTTCTCACCCCAGCAACCTCTTCTCACCCCAGCAACCTCTTCTCACCCCAGCAACCTCTTCTCACCCCAGCAACCTCTTCTCACCTCAGCAGCCTGCATGGCTTCGTTCAGAATGTCCACATCTCGGTCCAGCCGTGCCAGGTTGAATCCCAACCAACACCCAATACTTCAGCATTCCCTCACCAATCCCCCATGACCGCTCCCCTCACCCACCCCCCACGCACCTCAGCGGCCTGCATCGCCTCATTCAGAATGTCCACATCTCGGTCCAGCCTCGCGAGGTTGAATCCCGGCAGCCGCCCCGACTGCTTGCTCCCCAGCAGCTCCCCCGGCCCTCTCATCTTGAGGTCCAGCTGGGCCAAAACCAAGCCGTCCTGGAACGTGTAGGGGCGGGGGGTGGGAAAGAGGGGCGGGGGGTGGGAAAGAGGGGCGGGGGGTGGGAAAGAGGGGCGGGGGGTGGGAAAGAGGGGAGGGGGTGGGAAAGAGGGGAGGGGTGTTGCCCTCTTCCCACACACACATGCAGACACAGGCACATGCACATGCACACCCTCTTCCCCACCCCCTGTCCCCTGTACACAAATGTGATGTCCCTAGCAGCTTCAGCTTGTGCCGAGCGCTCTTACTGCTGCCCCTCTGGCGCTGCCCCTCTGGCGCTGCCCCTCACGCATACGTGCAGACGCAGGCACACGCACACACACCCCGACACACACACCCTGGCACACACACCCCACACACCAACACCCACACACATACATGTGTTGACTCCAGCAGCTTCAGCTTGTGCCGCGCGCCCTTGCTGCTGCCCACCAGCAGGCAGCGCGAGGGGCGTTGCCCTCTCCCCACACACACGCACAGGCACAGGCACACCCTCTTACCCCCACCCTCTTCCCCCCACCCCACTTCCCCTGTACACACGTGTGAAGTTTCCAGCAGTTTCAGCTTGTGCCACGCGCCCTTACTGCTGCCCACCAGTAGGCAGCGCGAGGGGCGCTGCCCTCTCCCCACACACACGCACAGGCACAGGCACGGGCACGCGCACACCCACACCCTATTCCCTCCCCTTCCCCCCCCCCGTACACACGTGTGTTGACTCCAGCAGCTTCAGCTTGTGCCGCGCGCCCTTACTGCTGCCCACTAGCAGGCAGCGCGAGGGGCGTTGCCCTCTGCCCACGCGCCCCCTCAGCTGGTGCAGCTGGGCCAAGCCGTAGCGCTCCGCATGCTCCACCAGCATCACCGTCGCCTCGGGAATGTCGATTCCCACTTCTATGACAGTCGTGCACACGAGAACCTGGGATGGGACGCAAGGAAGGGAAAGGTCAGTTTTGCATGTCGAATGGTGCAGCTGGGCCAGCCCGTAGCGCTCTGCATGCTCCACCAGCATGACTGCTGCTTCAGGAATGTCTATGCCGACTTCTATGACAGTCGTACACACGAGCACCTGAGCAGCAGCACGAGGGAGGGAAACGGCACGGGACGATGTGTTGTATTGTACGCATGGACACAGGCACAGCGCAGCGATTGCATGTATGTCTACTGCGCCAGGCCGTATAAACCGCGTGTGAGAAGTCTAGTTTTGAGGCGCCTCAAAACCACAGCGATTGCATCTATGTCTGTCTACTGCGCCAGGCCGTATCGCTCTGCATGCTCCAGCAGCATCACCGTCGCCTCGGAAATGTTGACTTAACCAATCACTGACGAGTGCAGCAAACGAACAGCACCAAATCAAGCGCACCTGTATGGATCCTTCCTGGAAGCTGCGCATGACGCCCTCCTTCTCCTCAGGCTCCATTCGGCCATGCACGAGCCCACAGCGCAGCACTGCTGCTCCGTCCGACCCATACCCATCATCACCATCATCATCCTCATCATCTTCTTCTTCTTCTTCGTCTTCCTCCTCATCTTCCTCATCACTACTGTAGTCCTCATCGTCTGACTGGGGGCCATACATCGCATCCAGCTCACAGTTATACTGGTCTGTCTCATACCCGTCAGGAAAGTTATCAATCTCACACAGCTCAAACCGGCTATAATCACTGCGCCGACGAGGCCGGTCTTTTTGGGCAGCTGCCCGCTCGGCTCGGGCAGCAGCACTACTGCTGCCATCCCTCAATGCACGGCCCAGCAGCCCGCCTGGTTCGGTCAGCAGCTGAAACTCTTCCGTGGCTGCCCGCACTTCCGGGAGCTCCTCTGAAGCGTCGATGATGGGGAAAACAATGAACGCTCGCCCGCCCGATTGCACCTCCTCTCGAAGAATCTGCGATGAGTGCAAGAGGAGAAGGGGGATAGGGAGGGATGCACAAGGGGGTTTAGGGGGGGCAAAGAAATCCCGGGAGCTCCTCTGAGGCGTGGATGATGGGGAAGACGATGAAGGCCCGCCCGCCCGATTGCACCTCCTCTCGAAGAATCTGCGGCAGATTTGAGGTGTGAAGGGGGGTAGGGGGGCAAACGGGAGATAGGGGGAGCAAAGGGGAGATGGGGGGAACAGAACAGGGGCAATGAAGCGTAAATGATGGGAAGACGATGAAGGCCCGCCCGCCAGATTGCACCACGTCGCGAAGAGTCTGCGATGAGTGCAAGAGGAGAAGGGGGATTAGTGGAGCAAGGAATCCCGGCAGCTCCTCTGAAGCATCGATGCTGGGGAAGACGATGAAGGCCCGCCCGCCCGATTGCACCTCCTCTCGGAGAATCTGCAGCAGAGTTGAGAAGGGGAACGTGCGAATGTGGGGAAAGTGGAGAACGAGGCGAGTAGGTGCTAGAGAGAGTCTGGGCCTCCGCCAAAAGAGTTCAAAATGATTCAAAGTAGAGTCAACAGAAACAGAAGGGAACGTTGGGATGGTTTGGGATAGTGTGGCTGGCATATCCTTGCCATTGCAGGCAGTTTGGGATAGTGTGGCTGGCATATCCTTGCCATTGCAGGCAGTTTGGGATAGTGTGGCTGGCATATCCTTGCCATTGCAGGCAGTTTGGGATAGTGTGGCTGGCATATCCTTGCCATTGCAGGCAGTTTGGGATATGCCTGCAGTTTTTACGATCTCTCAGTAACCATCTGCACCGAATATTCCATCATCAAAGCATAGAAGGATTTGGTTATAGCAGGCTGATATTCACACAAAGCTATGGCGAATTCCGGTTTGCAATATTAAAAGAAATAAACCAGCTTTAGTGCTGCAAACTCTCAATATAAACCAGCTTGAGAGCAGAGACAATATAACTGACCTGATTCTAGTCCTTTCTCCGTTCCGCTCTCTTCGACTCACCTTGTAAGCTGCAGCCCTCTCCTTCTCCTCCCCACCCTCCTCCTCCCACTCCCCCTCACTCTCCTCCCCGCTGCTGCCGCCCTTCCCGTCCCCGTCATAAAAGACAAGAGTCTCCACCGGCGTGCGCCCGGGCGGCAGCTCGGCGATCCGCGAGATGTCGGTTTGGCCGTGCAGCACGAGGGCGAGGGAGCGCGGTATGGGTGTGGCCGTCATGGTGAGCGTGTGGGGCTCCGAGAGGAGCGGGAGGGCGGAGGGGGCTGAAGCGATGTTTCCAGATTCAATAGCGTCCTCTGTATCACTGCTGTCGATGGCTTCCTGCTGCTGCCTAAGTGCGTCAAGGCCCTGCAGGGAACATAGAAGTGGAGTGCGGGAGAGATGACTTTTGCGTTGACTCAAAAGTGCAGGGAACATAGAAGAGATAAAAGAAGCGCTTTGAGACGTTTTTGAGCTGACTCAAAATCAAAACAAGGCCCTGCAGGGAACATAGAAGTGGAGTGCAGGAGACGATGAAAAGAGGCAACTTTCGCAGTGGGGCATCCGTGCAAGCATGAAACACTATTCAACTCACATTTGAAACAACGGCCCAACCAATCCACTGTTGCAACCGTTTTTGGACAACCCGCCTATCCAATCTCACAAAGTCACTCCCTCCCGCCTTCTGAGTCACTCCAATCTCACAAAGTCACTCCCTTTTGAGTCGACTCAAAAGTCACCGTTTTTGGACAACCCGCCTATCCAATCTCACATAGTCACTCCCTCCCGCCTTCTTGTGCAGTCTCAACCGCTGCTTGACCCCCAAGCGGTGCTGCTCGTCCACAATGGCCAGCCCCAGGCGGTGGAAAGGCCGTAGCCCCCAATGATGGGGCATCTTGGCAGGCACATACAGGTCACGGTCACCCCACACATGAGATGAGACCGACAGCGCATTCAATCTAACACCCACTCCCACCTTCTCGTGCAGTCTCGCCCGCTGCTTGACCCCGAAACGGTGCTGCTCATCCACAATCGCCAGCCCCAGGCGGTGGAAGGCCGTGGCTCGGGCGATGAGGGCGTGTGTTCCGATGATGATGCTCACCCTGCCCTCCTTGATGTCCTGTTAGTGAGAGAGAGTAGGACCGTTTGAAAGAATAGGTGCCGTGAAAGGAATATGAGTACCAATCACCGCATTGATACAAAGGACCGCTTGGGAGAGTAATTACATCGGAACATGAGACGGACGGGGGCAACAGGAGGGTGAGCGCACAAGAAACTGAACTGCGGCACGGCGAGGGGGAAAACCAAAGGGTGGTAGAGAAAGTGGAGAAAGCAGTTCAGGTGGTGGAAGGCCGTAGCCCGTGGCCCCCTGGTCACCCAACAGCTTACAACTCGCGCTTGGAAATTCTAGAAATTGTCTCTCACGATGGCTCACTCATCAGCCCGGTGCGGTGCCTTGGAGCGTTCCACTGTTGCAATCACCAGGCAACCCATAATACCTTTTTGTTGTTGTAAGCTCTCACAGTCAACTCACAGTGCCTTGGTTACCTGGTTACCTGGTTACCTACCTGGTTCCTTGGTTAGCTTAGCTGGTTACCTTCCACAACCCACTAATCCCACTCACCAGCCGCAGTGCCTTGGCACGCTTCACACTCCCCGTCAGCAGGCAAACCCTCGGGCGGCGATCAGGCGGCAGCGCTTGGAGCCACTGTTCGAACCTTGCCACGTGCTGCTGGGCGAGGAACTGAGTGGGGGCCAACACTGCCACCTGATACCCATGCGCCACTGCCTCCGTACATGCCAGTAGCGCCACCACCGTTTTCCCACACCCCACATCCCCCTGCAGCACTCAATTCACTCTATTTTTTAGGCGCCTAAAAATAGTCAATTCACTCACCAGCCGCAGTGCCTTGGCGCGCTTCACACTCCCAGTCAGCAGGCAAACCCTCGGGCGGCGATCGGGCGGCAGCGCTTGGAGCCACTGTTCGAACCTTGCCACGTGCTGCTGAGCAAGGAACTGAGTGGGGGCCATCACAGCCACCTGATACCCATGCGCCACTGCCTCCATACATGCCAGTAGCGCCACCACCGTTTTCCCACACCCCACATCCCCCTGCAGCAGCCTCGACATCGGCACCGGCCAATTCATATCGGAGATTATTTCCCGGGCAGCCTGCATCTGCCCGGCGGTGAGCGTGTAGGGCAGGCTGGAAAGAATTTCTTGTGTGAGTGGGGACCACTGCTCGGCCGTCAGATCTCTGCGGGTCCACTCGATGGTCCCTCCTCCCCCTCCGGAGGCTGCTGCTGCTGCTGCGGCTGCGGATGCCAGGTGGCCGAGTTTGATTCGCCGGCTCTGCAGCAGGATGCGGAGCTGGTAGAAGAAGAACTCGTCGAAGACGATGCGGCGCCGGGCAAGGGGGACGAGAGCGCGGTCGGACGGGCAGTGGATGGTGGCGAGGGCGAGAGGGAGGGGGAGGAGGTTGCAGCGCGCGCGGAGGGAGGGGGAATGGTATTCCAAGTCCGGAGGGATCATCTTGACTAAACTGTGGTGGTGGGGGGACGAGAAGGAGGGGGGAGAGGGGGGATAAGTGGGGAAGGCAAGTGGGGTGGTGGAAAAACTGAAGAATTTCCAGACATGAGCCACCACCGTCGCAGCAGGATGCGGAGCTGGTAGAAGAAGAACTCGTCGAAGACGATGCGGCGCCGGGCAAGGGGGACGAGAGCGCGGTCGGACGGGCAGTGGATGGTGGCGAGGGCGAGAGGGAGGGGGAGGAGGTTGCAGCGCGCGCGGAGGGAGGGGGGAAGGTATTCCAAGTCCGGAGGGATCATCTTGACTAAACTGTGGTGGTGGGGGGACGAGAAGGAGGGGGGAGAGGGGGGATAAGTGGGGAAGGCAAGTGGGGTGGTGGAAAAACTGAAGAATTTCCAGACATGAGCCACCACCGTCGCAGCAGGATGCGGAGCTGGTAGAAGAAGAACTCGTCGAAGACGATGCGGCGCCGGGCAAGGGGGACGAGAGCGCGGTCGGACGGGCAGTGGATGGTGGCGAGGGCGAGAGGGAGGGGGAGGAGGTTGCAGCGCGCGCGGAGGGAGGGGGGAAGGTATTCCAAGTCCGGAGGGATCATCTTGACTAAACTGTGGTGGTGGGGGGACGAGAAGGAGGGGGGAGAGGGGGGATAAGTGGGGAAGGCAAGTGGGGTGGTGGAAAAACTGAAGAATTTCCAGACATGAGCCACCACCGTCGCAGCAGGATGCGGAGCTGGTAGAAGAAGAACTCGTCGAAGACGATGCGGCGCCGGGCAAGGGGGACGAGAGCGCGGTCGGACGGGCAGTGGATGGTGGCGAGGGCGAGAGGGAGGGGGAGGAGGTTGCAGCGCGCGCGGAGGGAGGGGGAATGGTATTCCAAGTCCGGAGGGATCATCTTGACTAAACTGTGGTGGTGGGGGGACGAGAAGGAGGGGGGAGAGGGGGGATAAGTGGGGAAGGCAAGTGGGGTGGTGGAAAAACTGAAGAATTTCCAGACATGAGCCACCACCGTCGCAGCAGGATGCGGAGCTGGTAGAAGAAGAACTCGTCGAAGACGATGCGGCGCCGGGCAAGGGGGACGAGAGCGCGGTCGGACGGGCAGTGGATGGTGGCGAGGGCGAGAGGGAGGGGGAGGAGGTTGCAGCGCGCGCGGAGGGAGGGGGAATGGTATTCCAAGTCCGGAGGGATCATCTTGACTAAACTGTGCTGGTGGGGGGACGAGAAGGAGGGGGGAGAGGGGGGATAAGTGGGGAAGGCAAGTGGGGTGGTGGAAAAACTGAAGAATTTCCAGACATGAGCCACCACCGTCGCAGCAGGATGCGGAGCTGGTAGAAGAAGAACTCGTCGAAGACGATGCGGCGCCGGGCAAGGGGGACGAGAGCGCGGTTGGACGGGCAGTGGATGGTGGCTAGGGCGAGGGGGAGGGGGAGCAAGTTGCAGCGCGCGGAGGGAGGGGGGAAGGTATTCTAAGTCTGGAGGAATGAGCTTGATTAGACTGTGATTGGGGGGGAGGGAAGAGGCGGGGGTTGGAGGTGAAAGGGCAAGCGGGGAAGGCAAGAGGGAGGGAGTGGTGGGAAAACTGAAGGTTGAGGTGTGTGAGGGTTGGCCACATCATCATCATCAGCACAACGTTGCGAATGTAATGCACACCTTACCGCACCCACACCCACAGCATGCACAACCAGCAGCAGCGCTACAGCAACGCTGAAGAAGCCCCATCGTTCCAGGATGATGCACAGGGAGAGCGGGTCCATGTCCTTCCTGGCTGAATACACCGGCACAGCACCATCCACAGCACCATCCACAGCACCACCGTCCCCCCTGCTACGGTATGAATGTTCGACTTGACCCACCCTACACGCACTCGCTTAAGCCTCACCTTTCGAGGATGACGCGCAGGGAGAGAGGGTCCATGTCCTTTCTGGCTGAATACACCGGCACAGCACCGCCGTCCCCCCTGCTGGCGCCGGCATCCACCTTCACAATGTCACTGTTCATGTCCAGCTCGATCGTCCCATCGCCGTGCACGGTCCTCATCTGATGGGGGCGAGGGGAAGGGGTAAGAATTGTCGGACACAAACGTAAGTTCTGAGACGGCACATGGCCACCCTCCCCTCTGCTACTGCCCGCCTGCATGCATCCCCTTCACAATGTCACTGTTCGTGTCCAGTTTGAACGCCCCTTCGCGAAGCACTGCCTTCACTTCACCTGAAGGGCGGAAGCGAGGGAGAGGGGGAAGGGGGGGAAAGAGGAGCAGATAGAACTGAGGCTCCCTGCGTGTCGCTGTTCATGTCCAGCCCGAGCGTCCCATCGCCCTGCACTGCCCTCACCTGAGGGGGGCGAGGGGAGGGGGATGAGGAGCGGATGGGAGCGGGGTAGGGGAGGAGGGTGTTGAGGCTCCTTGCTTGCGTGTCACTGTTCATGTGCACCTGAAGCGTCCCATCGCCCTGCATTGCCTTCACCTGAAAGGGTGAAGGGGCGGGGGAGGAGTGAATAGGTTCTGGGAGGGTCAAAGTGTGCTGAGGCTCTCTGCCTGCCACTGTTCATGTCCAGCTTGAAGGCCCCATCGCCCTGCACAGCCTTCCCCTGAAGGGACCGAGCGGAGGGGTGAGGACTTGTTGAGGCGTCTGGATTTTTCAATCCCCATGCATAACCCTCACCTGAGGTGGGAGGGAGTAGTGGTGGTTGGGTGCAGGGAACGGGGAGGAGGAGGGTCGAGGGTTGCTGCTTGCCGCTGCTCTGGTCCCATCCCAGCGCAACAGATACAACTTAAGACAGGCATGACATTTGGTACACCCACCCGCCGCCACACCCCCACCCACGTGCTCCCACCCACCTGCCCCCACCTGCCCCCACCTGGCCCACCTGCCCTGTCCCTACCCTCGAGCCCCAAGAGCCAGGTCACACCTTGCCCGTGATGGAAACGTGGAAGCCCTTAGAGAAATCCGAAGCCAATTATACAAATTTACCACGCGCCCCCATCCACCCATCCACCCACCTGCCTGCCCCTACCCTCGTGCCCCAAAGCACCAGGTCGCACCTGGCCAGTTACACACGCCCCACCCACCACCCACCTGGCCAGTGACAGAGACGAGGCAGCCCTTGGGGTAGGCGGAGTAAAGAAACCTCCGACCCCAGGGCCCAGCGGGGAACTGCTTCGCTGTCACCATAAACCTACCTGCCCCCCACCTGCCCCCACCTGTCCCTACCCTCATGCCCCCCAGCCCAGGAGTCAGGTCGCACCTGGCCAGTGACAGAGACGAGGCAGCCCTTAGGGTAGGCAGAGTAAAGAGCTTTCCGAGCCCAGCTCCCAGCACGGAACTGCTTCGCTGTCACCATAAACCCACCACCACTGTTGCCACTGCTACCACTGCTGCTGGTAGATCGGGGGATGCTGAATCTGGGTCCGCTGGTTGTGGTGCTGGTGGGAGAATTGGTGTTGCCCGTGGTGGCGGCGTTGTCAGGCGGGTTGCAGCGGATTCGAAGCTCGGCTACAGCACAAGACCCACCTCTGGCTGCGTTCACACTGCGGTGTGGATGGGTGCGGAGATGTGCACATGGGCATGGAGAGGGGCAGAGTGGGGAGGTGCAGATGGGCACACACACACAGACACATGCAAGAGAGGCAGGAGAGGAGAGGGGAAGGAAATACACGGTTGCATGCGATCCAGCGAATGACAAGGGATTCATGAAATAAGGAAGGTATGGTGCCTTCCAGACGACTCACGTGTTTGTAGGCGCCTGAAAAAGACAGGCAGGACGTGCATGGATACATGTGCTGCAGCGATTGGCGATGGATGCATGCATGAAATAAAGAAGGCATGCTTCCAGACGCAAAGCAGATAGGCTTCGCACTTGGTCTGTTTGATTCGACTCAAGACGCGCATGCACAAACAGGCTTCTCCAACCAGCCACGTCGTACCCATTCAACCACTGCACTGCCCCACCCATCCCAACCGCTCACCTGACGCTCTCCACCACGCCAATAGCAGCCACCTGCCCGTCCCGCATCACATCCTCTCTGCTACACGTGAGATCCTTGTACGTGTGCGGATAATGCTCCAGCAGGTGTGATGTATGGCAGTTCAACCACCACCCACCCAACCCCACCTCTTTCCACCCACCAGCTCACCTAACGCTCTCCACCACGCCAACAGCAGCCACCTGCCCATCTCGCATCACATCCTCTCTGCTTCGCGTGAGGTCCTTGTACGTGTGAGGGTAATGCTCCAGCAGATGCCTCACCGTCCACATCCCCGCCTTCTCCAGCTTCTCCCGCTGCCCGGGCGTCAGCACGCCCCCACTCCGCCGAGCCAGGCTCCTCAGCGGCGTTTCCAGCCAGCTCACATGCTCCTCTATTGCTGCTCTGCCTGCGTGCGAGGCTGGTGCTTCAGCTGCTCCGTCTCTGCTCCCTAGAGTCGTGTCCAGCCATGCCATCTCTGCTGCTGCACGGTCTGCTGCATCCCCATCCGCAGCTGCACCCCCACCTTCTGTGCTACCAGCTAACGGCGTGTCCAGCCCTCCCACCAGCTCCTTTTCCTCCGCTTTCTCTGCCGCACTGCCTACACGCGGGGCAACACTTGTGCCTGCTGCTGCATCCCAAGCCACAGCCCCACCTTCTGAGATTGCCATAACGGGTCCCACTCCCACCCACTGACTCGCGCCCATTTCCCCCACTGCAAGCACGTTTTCATCATCAGCAACACCCGTCGCCGCTCCCCTGCCCTCCTGCCTCCTCCCAGTGGCTTCATTTGACTTCTTCCTCCGTCCTCGCTTTGCCGTGTCTGTGCTTGTGCCTGTCGCCATGCTGCCTGCCGCCCATGCTTCCACAGCTACCACTGCAACATCACTCCGCTCCTCCTCTTCCTCTTCTACTACCATCCTAAACCCTAAGCCCTCCTCCTGTAAAAATGCGTCAAGAAACTCTTCCTTCTCCTCGCTGCCTACCGCATCTAGATCTTCATACCCTCCTTCCTCCTCTTCTCCTTCCTCTTCCTCCACCTCCTCCCCATCCTCCCCTCCTTCTACCAACTCATCGTCCTCCAAATCAACCACTCCAAACCCCTTCAAACCACTCACACCTCCACCTTCCTCTCCCATCCCCCCCTCCTCCACTCCCCGCACCGGATCCACAACTCCCGGACCTCCTTCCCGAGCCTCCGATCCAGCCGCATCTCGAACCAGGCCCGGCAGCTTCAGCTCCGGCCGGTCCTCGAAGCAGACCGAGGCAAAATGGGTCTGGCACCACCGAGCCAGCAGGGCAGCCACGGCAGGATGCGTCGCGGAATCAGCTTCGGAATGACGACCCACCCTGTGACCCTCTCTCACAGAGGACCAATCTACCTGCTGCGCTATAACGTGGCCTGCTCCCTGCCCTACACTGCTGGCTCGAACTACATCCTGCCTCACAGTGGTGGTGGAGACAAGAGGCGTTTCTTGCTCTGTTTCAGTTGACTCAAAGAGTCTGCTGACTCGGATAGCGTCCTGCCTCTCAGTGGTTGTTGAGACTCGAGGCGTTTCGTGCTGAGCACTACTGCCGCGATGATCACAACGGGACCAAGGGCGGTGTGTGTCTGCAGGCCAGGAGGGAGAAGATGGTGCTTGTGGGTGGGAATGGGGAGGATTGGGATGGCTAGAGAGAGACGTGGGAGGAGCAGCAGAAGGGGGAGAAGCAGGGGCAGCAGAGGAAGGATGCACGGAAGGAGGGACTGGAAGGTGAGAGGACGGATGAGGAGTGGCAGAGGTGGCGGGCGTGGTGGGGCTGGTGGCAGTGGTGGAGGGAGTGGTGGTGGTGGCGGGTGTGGCAGCACGGGCAAGAGCAGCAGCAGCACGCATGGCATTTGCACGGCGCTGCCACTCCGACTGCACAGGAGCAGAATCAGCAGGCGGAGCAGAAGAAACAGAACGGGCAGAACGGGCAGGATAGGCAGCAGGAGGAGACGGAGAGGAAAGGGACGTGGGAGTGGACTGGGAGCGCTGAGGGGACAGTGGCTCGGCTCCTGTTTGGCTCCTCCGGTGTGGCTCAACATTAGACTGAGGGGAACCAAACTGAGTGCCTGCTGACTGCTGCGCTGATGAATGCAAGTTTCGGGACTGAGAGGAGCCACTGCTGCTCTCAAAAGGCAAGCTGGCTCCGGTTTGACTCCCGTTCGGCTCCTCCGCAGCAGGGTTATTACTAGACTGTGCAGTATCGAACCGCTGCTGCACTGACGAATGTGCTTCGCCTGCTGCCTCCAAGTCTGATTCCCTAGGGCCCTGTCGGCCCGCTCCCACACTGTCACTATGCATATCTCCTCCTCCCCGCACCGCCCCTCCAGGCACATCATGCCGTGCCGCATCTGCTTGCCTGCGCCACGTCCTTCCAGCTGCTCCTGCTGGTCGTGCTGCTGGCAATGGTGACGGTGGCGCTTGTGGTTCTGATGCTGCTGGTATTCTTGGTGATGCTGCTGCTGCTGCCGATGCTATTGGTTCGGCTCGTGCCGCTGCTTGCCGAGCCTCTATCCTGGCACTGAAACCTGACGTGGGAGGAGACGTGTGGGCTGGAAGCGGTGAGGCTCGGGAAAGGAGAGAGTCGGGGGGAGAGTGCTGCCACTGTGGTATGGTTGATTGGGATGGGGATGGGGATGGGGATGGGGATGGGGATGGGGTGTGCATGGAAGGTGATGGTAGTGGTGCTTGAGGCAGCGAGGAAAGGAGCTCGCCTGTTGCTTTGTTCGCCCTCTCCTCCCTCGCACGCTCCACGCTCTCGCCTCCGCTATGCCCCACCATCTCTTCACTCTCCCATCCCACTGCCTCCACAGTGGCCCTGTGGTGATGCTCCAGCAGATGCTGCGCGTTTTGAGTCAACTCGGAACCCATGCTCTCCTCTCTGATATGCTCCCAAATCCCCTCACTGTCCAATCCGCTCATCGCTGCATCAACGGCCCTGTGGTGCTCCTGCAGATGCTGCGTGTTTTGAGTCGACTCAAAGCTCACGCTCTCCTCTCCTCCGCTATGCCCGAAACCATCCAGTCCGCTCATTGCTGCATCAACGGCCGTGTAGTGCTCCAGCAGATGCTGCGTGTCCGAGTATCCAAGAGCCCGGGAGATCTGCCATTGCGATTGAATTGCGCAAGGGAGCGAGGGAAAAACGAGCACCGGGATTCGCAACAGCTGTGAGTGGCTTGGCTGTTCGCTAACAAAAAATGACATGGTTCACTCTTGAGGCTGCAGTGTGAGATGAAGTCACGGCAGGCAGCAGCATGTCGTACGTAGTTCACTCTCTGGGTTGCATTGTGAGGTTAGGTTGTGGCACAAACATGTAGAGTGAAGTGAAGCACATCTCACCGGTTCCAGGCGCTGCCTGCACACGTGTGGCAGCAGCATGTTGACGTTCACTCTCTAAAATGCGAAGTGAGGTTAGGTCGTGTAACGGCACAAACATGTAGAGTGAAGTGAAGCACATCTCACCGGTTCCAGGCGCTGCCTGCACACGTGTGGCAGCAGCATGTTGACGTTCACTCTCTAAAATGCGAAGTGAGGTTAGGTCGTGTAACGGCACGAACATGTAGAGTGAAGTGAAGCACATCTCACCGGATCCAGGCGCTGCCTGCGCACGTGTGGCAGCAGCATGTCGTAGTTAACTCCTGCCCATCCCACCACCTGCTGCACTTCCAGCGAGGCGTTCAGCTGCTGACGTGTCATCCTCTCGTGCAGCGACTCAAGGTACTGGTGAAAGCTGATTGGATGAAAAGAACAGGAGCAAATAGGGTGGACAGGAAGGCTGGAAAAAGAGCAGCTAACATGCTGTGATCCAGGTGTGGAAGTGTGGAGTGGAGCTTCCCCGTGCTTGACTCACATCACACTTGATTCAAGCTTGGTTCAGTCAACCTCGAGGCAAGCTTGATTCGAACGTGATAAAAGCTTGATCCAGAATTGTTCCAAGCTTGACGCTCCTTCTCACGCTCTGCATCTTCCAACGAGCATCTCTGGGCGTGGCGAAGCCTCACCTGCACCTGAAGCCTTGGGCATTCGAGAAATCCGAAGCAGCTTCAAACGCCACAGCTTGAACGAGCTCACTCATATCAAACACTGTTGTTGCCTCCGCTCCCCCCTTCTGCTCTTGCTGCTCACTCACATCAGACGCTGCTGCCCCTGCTCCCCCCTTATTCCCTCCCTGCTCACTCATATCAAACGCCGTTACCTCCGCTCCCACCTTCTGCTCTTGCTGCTCTCCGTGCCCTTGCCACTGCTCCTTCATCTCCTGCTGCTTCTGCTGGAGTTGCCAGGGCTGCTGTCCCCCACTCCATGTTTGGGACAGCTCAGAAGGATCCTGAATGCCCTGCTGCTGCTCACCCACCAAAGCTGCCTCTGCCGCACGTGATCTTTGAGTCGATTCAAAAAGTTGAAATGCACTTCTTGGAGTGTGGGTCCACTCAAAGACCTCTTCAGGGTCAGGGTCGTCCAGACCTATCGACGCTTCCTCCACTGCCGCCTCATGCTCGTCCTTTTCAGGCGCCTCAAAAGACACCGCCGCCTCATGCTTCTCCAATGCTCTCTGATCGATCACCACCGGTGCTTCTGCCTCCTCTTCCCAAACAATCAGCTCTGATGCTCTCTGTTGTATCACTGCCATTGGGTGTTCTTCCAATCCTCTCTGCCCTATCACCGCCGCCTGAGCCTCCTCCAATGCCTTCTTCTCTATGATTGCTGTTTTTGCCTCCTCCTTCCAGACAGTCACCTCTAACGCTTTCTGTCCAGCAACCACTGCCTTTCCCTCCTCTTTCCAAACAGTCAACTCTGATGCTTTCCGTCCAGCCACCACTGCTTTTGATTCCTGTTTCCAAACAGTCAACTCTGATGCTTTCCTTCCAGCTGCTTTTGATTCCTCCTTCCAAACACTCAACTCCGATGCTCCCTGCCCAGCCATCATAACTTGAGCCTCCTCCTTCCAGACAGTCACCTCTGAAGCTCGACTCCCCTCTGTTTCCGTACAGCTGCCACTCTCTTCACTCACGTCCCCTACAGTCACCTCTTCAACTGTCTGTTCTGCACTCACGTCCCTTAAAGTCACACCTTCGACTGTCTCTTTAGAACACACCTCCCCTACAGCCTCTTGTTCTGCATTCACCTCCCCTACAGCCTCTCGTTCCGCATTCACGTCCCCTACAGTCACCTCTGTGACTGTCTTTTCTCTGGCCACATTCCCTACAGTCACACCATCAACAGCCTCTCCTGATGTCGCGCCCCCTACAGCCTCCTCTTCTGCAGTCACTGCCTCCGCACTCCCCCAAGCCAATTCCTCCTTCTTAACAGCCCTGCCTCGACCCCTGGCCCAGGCCACAGTGCCAATCCTTCTAGAGCCACAACTCCGGCTCAACTCCGCCTGTGTCCCCCGCACGCTGCAGGCAAGAAGCACAGGAAAAGGCGTTCCCGGCAAAGCTACATCAACAGCCCCTCGACCTCCTGGTGCTCCCCTCACTACAGTTGCGCCTCTCGCTCCCGCTGCCCTTTCCACTGCTCCATTCGATCCGCTCCTTTCCAGAAGCACACTCGAGCGGGCATGCCGTAAAGGGATCGATCGCCTGCCCAGAAGTGGAGCAGTAGTTCTGCTGAACCCTAGGCCTGTGAATCCAGGAAACAAGGAGTTTCTGTGGCTGTAGCTGCGACTGCTGTAGCAGTTGGTTCGGGATAAGGAGTTCAGTGTTGGTGTGGTGTGGTTGGCAGGGCGGCGGGTGGGAGTGGGGGAACATGTTTGGGATTTGACTCTAAAAGGGGCTGATTGGCTGACTGGTGGAGATGCTGAAGCCATGTTGAAAGGGCAGCAGATTGCCGAGAATTCTAAGGACCGGGCACATGCAAATAGAGTCAGAAGCACGCAACGAGAGCAGGAAACAGCCGTGCCGCGAGCAGACGGAAAAGAAGCTGCAGCTGTAGCGAAGGAGGAACGAGCACCACTGCCGGCAGCCACGGTACCATTTGCCCTCAGGGAACACGTTCGGGCAGCAGCAGCAGCGGCCCCTCGGCAGAAAGAGGCATGTTTGAGACAAAGGTGCAGCTGCCACTGCATGTGCACTGCACACAGTGCACCAAACTGCACAGTGAACACTGAATGTGCACAGTGAACAGAGAACGTGCACAGCGCTACACAGCACACAGCACGAGCTCACACCTCGCTGGCAGTTCAGTCCAAACCCTGTGATACCAGCACAACACGGTTAACCTCAGCTTCTGAACCTGTTGTTGACCCCGTTGATCTAGTTACCACTTTTGACTGATAAACCTGGTTGACCCCTTTGACCTGAAAGACCTGGTTGACTTGACCCTGTTGACCTGGTTGACCCCGTTGACCTGAGATACCTGGTTGACCCCGTTGACCTGAGATACCTGGTTGACCTGGTGATAGTACACCCGTGAGTGTGAGAGGCGGAGAGCAGGTGAGGACGTAAGGCAGGCTATGGCTGGCAGCTGGGGTTCGAATGTGGCTTGGGAGGGGTTGCCTTGAGAAAAGTGTACGGCTCTGTGGGTTCGGACCTGCACTCATGTGCAAAGGGATCAACAAGAAGGCAAGAGATTTCTTGGAATTCATGCACCAAGGAGTTGCATTGAGAAAGGTGAATGGCATTGTTGGCTCGGACCTGCACTCATGTGCAACGGGGTGAGGGGAATATTCCAGTGGGGTGCACGAGACAATGTCATGTAAAGGAAGGAAGACAACGGAAGAAGAATGGTAAAATCGTAGAAAGCAGAGCACACAATAGCTGGTAGCGTCATTACTATGGTTATATATGAAATGCACGTCATTGCTAAGTGTTGCTTAAGTCAGTATTCTGCAGCACAGCCATGCGTTTCATACCCTGGTTTGGAGCGAATGCACTGAAAGAAAAGCTGAAGCGGCTTCTTGAGGTTGGAGCTCCAGTTGCCCTCGAATAGACCCTGCCATACCTCGACAGGAGGTCGGTGATGAGGAGAGGGGAATGAGGAGCGGAGAGATGAATGAGGGGAGAGAGGAATGAGGAGCGGAGAGATGAATGAGGGGAGAGAGGAATGAGGAGCGGAGAGAGGAATGAGGAGCGGAGAGAGGAATGAGGAGCGGAGAGAGGAATGAGGAGGGGAGAGAGGAATGAGGACGGGAGAGAGGAATGAGGGCAAATGAGAGTGATGAATGGACGGGACCGTGATGATGGAGGGGACATAAATGAGAGGAGAGGAGAGTATCGAGAGGGGAGGGCAGCAAAGAGAGGGTTTCGGCGAGACTGGATAACGAAGGTAGAGGTGATACGTGGAGAAGAGCAATGGCCAGAAAAGCAGGGAAGGGAGCGGTCGTGTCTGAGTGACGTCTTCCGGAAAATAGTAACGAGAGGAGGGGATAGCAGCGAGGGGATACATGTCAATAACGGGTGGGAAATACAGCGAGGAGGCCGTGTTTCAATGACCTCTCCAACGAGGAGGGACAATAACGAGGACAAGGAGGATGTCGTACCTGGATGACGTGTTCCTGGAAATAGTAACGAGAGGAGGGACAATAACAAAGAGAGATGTTAATAGCGGGTCGATAACGAGGGTTCATGCCTGGATAACGTCTTCTAAACGATCGTTGCAGCGGTGGGGACCCACCCCGCCCGAATGAGTGGGATCAGGCGAACGGCTGCGATCAGACTGGCTAGAATCTGACGGCTCAGACGGCATAGCGCCTCAACCAGAAGGTGCGATCCCTCCGATAGATTTAACGAGCAGGCAGGCGAGTGGAAAGAAGAACTCTAAAGAGACGCGAGGAGGAGGCAACGGAACAAAATTCTGTCCAGCAGGTTGAAGAGTTGAAGTACGTGTGCAGAGAAGTAACAGAAGCGGCAAATAAGTTCGGTAAAACTCGTAAATGAAGTCCGTGAAATAAGGCGCTGAGAAAGCTGAAAGGTTATACTTTTACAGGGTTGTAGGGCTGGTTAAAGACATTACGCATAAAAATCAAGCAAAGTGTGTGCCGTACACGAGCTGCCGTGTTCTCCTAAAACTATAGGTCTGGCAACTGAGTGACTCAGCGTCAGAAGGAAGACATTTTCAAGGTACAACTGCATCTGGGTGCGGGATGAGTATGCCTCGTAAAGAGCGATCACGCTAAAAAAAATACAGCCGTAGTTAAATTCTTAGGGAGAACAAAATACTGCCATATTTACCGTAGGAGCCACAACCAATTCGCTAAATCCACCTACGGCAGGCTTACGATAAATACGTACGTCGCGCGCCACTCCGCCACAAGCCGGAAATCCTGCTAGTGCCAAAACGCGATACGAACGCCACACGTCACCACGCCCCCAGCCGTGAAACTTGCTAGCACCAGGTCGCGAAGCGTGCGCCACACGTCACCGCGCCCCTAGCCGTGTCTCGATAGCAGCAGGTCGCATAGCGTACACCACACGACACCTTGCCCCCAGTCGCGAATTCAGCTAGCACTAGGTCGCGAAACGTAAGCTTCACGCCAACGCGCCCACGGCCACGAATCCCGCGAGCAACAGGTTAGCGCAGCGATTGCTTCACGCTACCCTGCCCACAGCAGCGATTCCACGTAGGAGCGCGTAGTGAAGTGACGGTTTCACGCCATAACTGCGATTTACGCTAGGAGCAGGGACCCAAGTGGACGGTTGTTGCTTTCGCCCCTGACGCCACGACTCACGTTAGGAGCAGGATCTGCAGTGGACGTCTTCGCGTAGCCGAGTGTGCAGCTGGTTTTCCCTCGCTAGGAGCAGGAACTGCAGTGTGCGTTTCCTCGTTACAAATGCACAACCAGGTTTTCCCCGCTTGGAGCAAGATTAGCAGTGTTCGGTTTCTCGCTACCCCGCCACACGGGCACACCGGGCTCTCTTGTTGCTAGGAGCTGGAACTGTAGAGCGCGGATCTAGACAGGCGCTACAGGATCCACGGCATGGCCGACTTGCAGCACGAGCACACACCTACGCAGGCACCGCATGGCGAGGCGGAAGCACTTGCTGACCCAGACAGGCACTCAAGCACTAGCGCTCGGGAGTATGTAGCGCAGCCCCAAGCAAACACTCTCAAGCGGCCTTGGGTAGGCCCTACGCAGCCACTCCTCCTCGGTCTCCGGCGCCTGAGCTCGGTAGACCGACTTTGCTCGGAGGGGACACCATGCAAACGACACCGCGAGGCACCAGCCGCCCCCATGAGCACCAACGACATGCTCGGTGTACCGCCGCTCTCAGGAACTTCGCAGCGGCTTAGTAATGGGGATGCTCAGCCTCCTTTGGCTGAGGCACCACTCACGGTTGGTGAACAGCGGGAGGCGGCTGTTACCCCACGCACGCCCTCGGTAGACCAGCAAGCATCGCCCAATTGCCCACACGCATCCTCTGGGCTGGTGGATGCACAAGACACCCGAGGGGTAGATGGGCGTGGGCAGGAACCAAGTGATCCGGGGATGGACAGGGCAGTGGCGGCGTGGGAGGCGCAACGCCGGCACTTGCAGGAGCTGCATAATAGGCGGCGGCGCGAGCTTCCACTTGGTGCCACGGCAACAGAGTCGCCCGGCACTCTTGGAGCTTCAGTGGGTCCTAGCAGGGCTCCACTTGGACCGCGCTTGGCACGACGGCAGGAGCTGAGGCGTTTGTTGGTAGCTGGCACGGGCGGTCGGCAAGAGTGGGCGACGGCAGAGCAGGCGGAGTCGACAGCGGGGAGGCAGGAGGTGCAGGGGGCCCTGCTGGCGGATGAGGGCCGGGAGTGCGGGGCAGGTGGGCAGCAGGGGGTGACGGATGCAGGCCTGCCGGAAAAGGTGCTGAGGAGGCAGCCGAGCCATCTGGCGGAGGGCCAGCTGGGCCTGCCGACAAAGGTCCAGGGGGAGTTACTCGAGGAGGAGCATTGGGAGCGTGGGGAACAGGGACGGAAACCAGGGAGGGAGCAACCGGAAACGCTGTCGGCGATGCAGCAGGGTCTGCCGGTGGCTGCAGGGGAGACTAGAGACATCAATCCCTTCCCGAAGGCACGAACGGGGGCGTCTCTAAAGGGATGGGCTGGAGCTGTGGAACATACTTTTCTCTTTCGGAGCGCGCAAGGACAAGGTGTGCAGCCCGCGAGCACAGGGCAAGAGGGCGTGCGCCGTCGTGGTCGAGGTCGCGGTCGTGGTCGTAGCGGGACTGCTCAACGAGGGCGCCTCGCGGGCCAGCACGAGCAACAGTCGGAAAGGCAGCCAAGTGAGTTGCAGGAGCAGCAGTTTGAAAGGCAACAACAGCGGAGTCAGCAGGGTGGGCTGCCTCCCCGGCAGCATGAGCAGCTGGGCGAAGGTCAGCAGGGATGGCAGCCAGGAGAGCAGCAGAAACTGTGGCTTAGGGAGCAGCAGGAACTGCAAATGAGGGAGCAGCAGGGAATGCAGCCAGGAGAGCAGCAGGAACTGCAGCCAGGGGAGCAGCAGAAACGGCAGCCAGGGGAGCAGCAGGACATGCAGATAGGGGAGGAACAGCAGGAAATCCAGATGGGGGAGCAGCAGGCACGGCAGCCAGGAGAGCAGCAGGAAATGCAGATGGGGGAGCAGTTGGAACTGCAGCCTGGGGAGCAGCAGGAGCTGCAGCCAGGGGAGCAGCAGGAAATGCAACGGGGGGAGCAGCAAGAAATGCAGCCAGGAGAGCGGCAGGAAATGCAGTCAGGAGAGCAGCAGGAGCTGCAGCCAGGGGAGCAGCAGGAAATACAACGGGGGGAGCAGCAGGAAATGCATCCAGGAGAGCAGCAGGAAATGCAGCCAGGGGAGCAGCAGGAAATGCAGCCAGGGGAGCAGCAGGAAATGCAGCCAGGGGAGCAGCAGGAAATGCAGCCAGGGGAGCAGCAGGAAATGCAGCCAGGGGAGCAGCAGGAAATGCAGCCAGGGGAGCAGCAGGAAATGCAGCCAGGGGAGCAGCAAGAACTGAGGCTGGAGGAGCAGCACCCGGGAGAGCAGCAGGGGCAGCAGCTGGGCACCTGGGTGGGTGATACATGGGAAGTCATGGGTGTAGCGAGCCCACTTCGAGTGGAGCAGCAAGAAATGGAGACAGATTTGGTGCCTGTGTCACAGCTCTCGGGCCACAGTGGGGAGCACCAACAAGATCTTTTTGTTCCTCCTGGGGAGCTGCAGATAGGGGAAACGGATCAGAGAGGGCAGCAGCTGCGTGAGCTGGGCGCTCAGGCGCAGGGGCCCTTGGACGACCAACTGCCACGAGGCAAGGGCAGGAGGCGACGCGGAGGCCAGGGCAAGCAGCGGTCGGGAAATCAGCAGGATCAGCAGGCAGAGGGCGAGTTGGGGCGGCCGCTTACGAGCCAACGTCCGGGAGGCCAGCTGGTGCGACGGCGGCCACTGTCAGGGGAACAGGGAGTGACTGCAGCACCTGAGGGCGTGCAGCAGGCAGGGGGACAGCAGGGAGTGACTGCAGCACCCCAGGGCGTGCAGCAGGCAGGGGGACGACAGGGAGTGACTGCAGCACCTGAGGGCGTGCAGCAGGCAGGGGGACAGCAGGGAGTGATTGCAGCACCTCAAGGCGTGCAGCAGGCAGCGGGACAGCAGGGAGTGACTGCAGCACCCCAGGGCATGCAGCAAACAGCGGGACAGCAGGGAGTGACTGCAGCACCTGAGGGCGTGCAGCAGGCAGGGGGACAGCAGGGACTGATTGCAGCACCTCAAGGCGTGCAGCAGGCAGCGGGACAGCATGGAGTGACTGCAGCACCCCAGGGCGTGCAGCAGGCAGCGGGACAGCAGGGGGTGACTGCAGCACCTCAGGGCGTGCAGCACGCAGGGGGGCAGCTGGGGGCGAGGGCAGCACTTCAGGGCGTGCGGCAGCGGCAGCAGCAGCGGCAGCAGCGTCAGCAGCAGCAGCAGCAGCAGCCCCCCCCGATCCCTCCGGAAAGCCCCACACCGGGGGTTGCGGAGAATTCAGCCACTCCTAACACGGCTCCACTTGCTCCAACTTGTGTCCCTTGCGAGTTCTGCTTTCACACATTTCCGCCTAGTGGTGCGGCCTCCCGCCACATAGTTGCATGTAAAGCGGCAGATGCTCAGCGGCGGGCTCAGGCCCTTACTTCCTCCCCGAACCTGAGCGAGGTCTTCGGGGCAGATCCAGTACCTCCGCGGGATATCGGCGAGGAGGTGTGGGGGGCGGTGCCTTCGTGGGACTGGGAGACTTTTTTCAGTATTCATTCTGTGTCGGGAGAGCTTCTTCGTCGGGTCCCGCAGCGGGCGCGACTGGGGGTGCTTGATGCATTGTGCTGCATTCTCAAGAGACTGAAGGCTTCCCCTGGGGATGAGGCGGCGACGCTGATGTTCCTGGCCTTCCCGCGCCTCATTTTGGGAGTCCCCGCGAAGGAGGGTCTTGGACGAAGGGCAGCCATAGTAGGGCGTCTCGGAAAGTTCTGGGCAGGGGAATGGCAACAGCTGTTCGAGGCTGCCTCTGCCGCGTTGACTCCGGCGGCGCGACCTCTTGCCTTCTCCTTACCTGAGCGAGATGCTGATGCCATCCGTTTGGCCCGATGTCGCACGAGGTGCCAAGTGGGGGAATGGAGTCGAGGACTAGCATGCCTTACTGCGGGCGACTTGGCGCAGCCCTCTCAACTAACAGTAGACCGGCTGACAGCAAAGCACCCGGCCAGTGAGGTGCCAGTTCCTGAGTGGGTGGAGCACTTTCGCATAGACGTTTCTCATCTTCCCCACCTAACTGAAGACATCCTCAAGCATGCTATTCAATCCGCAGCGCGAGCCTCAGCACCAGGCCCCTCAGGATGGATGACAGAGCACCTCCGAGACACATTTCTCTCGGAGCCTTCCTATCTCCCGCATCTGTTGGAGGTGTTCAGGCAGTGGATTTCGGGATGCGTTTCTGAGCGGGTGCGGCCCTGGCTTGCAGCCTCGAACTTGGTTGGGTTATCCAAGCCGAACGGGGACGTCCGCCCAGTGGCTATCGGAGAGGTGCTCCCTCGGATTCTGGCGCGTGCGTTATGCGTTCTTCTTCGTCCCGACATGGAGACCTACTTCGCTCCTTGTAACCAACTAGGGGTGGGGACTAAGTCGGGGGTGGAGATTCTGGCGCATGCTTTCCGCTCGGCTGTAGCGGTTCATCCGACGTGGTGCGCGCTGCAGATCGATGTAGCGAATGCCTTCAACTCGTTCCATCGGCACGTGATGTTCGACGGCCTCCGCGATTCTCCTTTTGCTGGCCTTATCCCTTTCTTACGCGTCTTTTATGGGGTGCCCAGCGGTCTGTACCTTCGCACAGGCCCCTTTGTCGAGATGCTGGCGTCCGAGCGGGGTTCGCGACAGGGGGATCCATTTGGTCCCTTCCTTTTTTCTTTCACGCAGCAGTTGGTTATGGGGCCTACAACGAAGGATTTCCCTGATCTTCTTTTCTTGAGCTACGCTGATGACACCTACGTTCTTGGCCCGCGGGAGCGGGTGTTGGCGGCGTACGATGTCTTGCGGGAGCGACTGGAGTGGGTGGGCTTGGAGGTGCAATCGCACAAGTGTAGGATGTGGGAAAGAGGGGAGGCGGCAGCGTCTGGGGATATTCCGTTGGGAATGCAGCAGTCGTGGACGGGGTTAACAGTGGTGGGGGTACCTATTGGAGAGGAGGATTGGGAGGTGGCGCGCTTGAGGGAGAGACTTTTGCAGCTGCGATCACCTCTACCTTGGCTTCCTATTTTGAACCACCCCCAGATTGCCTCCCACTTGTTGGCTGTTGCCGTGTCTGCGCGGCCGCTCTTCTTGACTCGCACTGTTCCCCCTCGTCCTGAGGTTCTTGACGCTTTCAGAGATTGGGATGGGGCTTTGGAAGAGTGCTTTGAGCAACTTTTCCCGCCAGACACTTGGGACTTCAGTCCTGATAGGTCGCGCATGGCTCACCTGCAGCTGCACCTCCCGGCTCGTTTGGGCGGGTTTGGCATTCGTTCAGCAGCAACTCTTAGCCCTCTCTCTTACGTCTGTGGGTGGTGCCAGGCTGCGAGTGCTGTTGTCAAGCTGGGAGTAGCGGGCGAGGAGCAGATGTTCAGTGAGTTCTTCCGCACTCCGCCGGCTGGGGATTTACTGGACCCTTGGTTTACCAAGGCCCTTGACCAGCTCCCGCCTGTTGTCAGGCAGGAATTGCCGAGTTTGGGGCTCTGCACTACAAATCCCCCCCTCCAGCTTTTCCCAGCGCAGCAGCGTCGCTTGGCGGTTGAAAGTCTTCAGTCTCTGCGGCGCATGGCCCGCGATGATGCTACCTTGGCCCGTTTGACTTCCCTTCAGGGCCCGGGTTCGGCAGCATGGGTGTCCGCAGTTCCAGCGCATGATGACGCAACTTTCACCCCTGTGGAGTGGGGCATTTCGGCGGCAATCCGTTTGGGCCTTCCCGTCCACCAGCTTCTGGTTGCTGGCAAGCGTGTTTGCGGTGTGGAGTTCAAGGACCCGTCAGATCCGCACCATGCTCTTCGGTGCAAGTACCAGTACGCCCCGTCTCGTGTTCATGATGCAGTGAAGCTCGTTGTTGCTAAGATAGCCAAGGCATCGGGTGGGGTGGTTACGATCGAGGATGACACGCTTCTGCCGGGGAAGAGAGTGGATGTGGCGGTTAGGAAACCAATGGACGGGGAAAAACATGCGCTCGAGGTGAGCGTCGTGGATCCGGTTTCGCTACCGGTGCAGCAGCATGGGCAGTGTGGGCGGACAGTAGGCTTTGCTGCCAAGGAGCGAGAGAAGAGGAAGGCGACGGATTATCAACCTTTTCTGCGGCAGCACAGGGGGGTTCGTTTCTTCCCGTTGATTCTTGAGACTTGGGGTTGCTTGGGGGGAAGCTTTCGACAGTGGTTACGGCAGCAGGGGGAGGTTCAAGTAAAGGTGGCTCTTAACAAAGGTGTGGGAAGGGGCAACAGCTCGGGTTTCTCGGAATACTTGGTGGGGTCCTTGACAGCCGCGGTAGGGGTAGCTTTGCAGAAGGCACAGGCTCGGGTGATTCTTTTGCGGGCGGCATACACGTTGGGTCAGTCCGAGGCGGAGTGGGTGGAGCGAGGGGGTGGGGAGCAGGAGTTTGGAGAGGGAGCACCATGGGTGGACGTGCCCTACTTGGTCGACATGCGGCTGTAGATGTCTTAGGAAGCAATACTTTGTTTCGGGTTTTGGCGATGGTCTTTTGATGTTTGAGGTAGTAAGACACTTCTAGGAAGGGTTTATGCATGTCTGTATGCTTGTTGAAATGTAACGAAGCGTGATTCAAAAAAAAAAAAAACGAATGTAGTTTATTATCTTATGTATGAGTTAAATACTATTATTTCAGAACTTCAGAATTGCATAATTAACGACTTTGAAAAGCGCTGTATATGTGTGCTATCAATATGACATCGCTATCTATTTCCACGAAACCAGGCGATTTGTCCGTTGAACGTCATCAACAGATGCCGGTCTCCCAGCTTCGGCATTCTAAAACCGTTCGATTGAATTTGCGACAAGCATCGACGGATGGATGCAGCTGGCCTGTGATGCTATGACGATTGATGATGGCAACAACCAGTCACCTTGCTTCTCCTCCACGCGTTCGGCGGCCGCGGCACACAACCATGGCGGAAAGGTTGGTTGGTTTAGGTTGGCTTGGGATTGGTTTGGGATGAAAAGGGAGATGAGACGGATAGGTAGGTACAGCACAGCATCAGCCTGCACAACTGCTGCTGCGATCACATTTTATAAACAACCATAGGAGCATGAAAACTCGGAAGTGAGTTTGATCAGCCCAAAACCGCCAGAACTCTGGCTGAATTGCTTGAAGTCCATCGAGATTCTAGCTGCCAAAAGCCGCAGTTGTGAGGATAAATACAGGACAGATAACTCGCAGTCGTTTTATTCCTCGATCTAACTCGTGTCACCTTCGTTGGGAGAAACTGTTCAGGAGGTCTCTCGCGGGTCCCTCGCAGTTCCCGGTTCTTTTGTGTCTCGTAACGCATCCAGCCATGTGCGATGCGTCACACTGCCGGAAACACTGACGATCGATCCGCGTTGCTTCCGATCGCCGCGTTTGGCGGCTCCAATCAACATGAAAGAGGATGGCCAATCAGAATCCGAAGAAGGCGAGTTTGTCGCTCCTGACGACCCGAACCTCGCTAATACCGCCAGCTCGTTGCCACGTGGCAACGATTTGGACAACTCCGCCGTGTCACAGACGAAAGAGCAGCAGGATCCGATCGCTGAAAGATCCGCGTTAAGAGAAGGATCGGATTACAAAATGCAGACCCCTCCTGCTCCTAGAGACGCGACGAACCAGGAAAGGCCGGATCAGGCGGACAGAATGAGAGACGCAGGATCGAAGCCGGACAGGCACGAAAAAGTGGAAAGTGATTTTGGATCTGTGCTTGCCGTTCCAGGAGTTGACTTGGAGGAGGATGAAGATGCTATGTTCAGCGAAGTGGCCAAGCTGTGGGCCGGACACACGTCTGGACATGCACCCGTGCTCGGATCGAGTCGACCTTCGACCAGTTTCCCGGCCTCGTCCGGTCATCCCGCCGGTATCGCAGGCGATCCAGTCGCAGGATGGTCGCACGGGTTTGGCCCGCACGGACGTGGGTCGCACGGTCGTGGATCGCACGGTCGTGGGTCGCACGGCCGTGGGTCGCACGGGCACCATCAGAGGGGACACGGGCGGCAGATGTTCGACGCGCTTGGGGAGATGGCAGGGATCGGCGCGGGGAGCGGGTCCCCTGTGAAGCCTCGTGGGTGGACTAAGACTTCTCACCCCCTTGATAATGATTCTGCGCATGCGGATGCTGATGCGGATGCTGCTGCTGCTGCTGCTGCTGCTGACAGTAAGGTTGATGCTGGTGGCGATCCTGCTGGGTATGGTGACGACGAAGGGGTTGATGGCTTGGGGTTTAAGAGAGCCAAGCATCATCATCAGCATCAGCATCATGGACCCCACCATCCTCGCCAGCAGCACCCGCACTCGGATCCTCGAGCTCATACCCATCCTCATGCCTATCCCCACGGCAATCATCCGCATCACCCCCACCATCACCCCCATCACCACGCGCACCACCACCGGAGCCGGCACCACCATAAAAGCAAGGCGCACGAAGGCGGGAAGTCCGGAGTTCCCTTTGCTGCTGCTGCTTTGCGTTCGGGCGGCGCTGGTAGCATGGCTGATGCTGCTGTAGCTGCTACTGCGGGCGGCACTGCTGCTGGCGGTAGTGGCAGCGTTGCTAGTGCTGCTGATGCGGCCGCGGATGGTTCAGAAGGCGGGGTTGGGGTTGTAGGCAAGGAGGGGGAAGGGTTCAGGGAGAGGCGGGGGGAGGGGGAAGAGGCGGAGAGAGCAGGGGCGGAGAGGGCTGGAAGAGGGGGGAAAAGGGCGGAGCGGATGGGGGATGCGCGCGGTGATGGGGAGAAGGGGCAGCTGTCGGCGCTGCTGGCGAGCGGAGGGCTTTGGGGAGCGGAGGAGGAGGAGGACGACGAAGAGGAGGTGGGAGCGGGGGAGGGGGGGAGTGAAGGAGCGAGAGCAAGGCGAAGAGCAGGCGTTGGAGCGACGGCAGGTGATGGTGGGGAGGGGAGTGGAGGAATGGGAGAGGGTGGGGATGGGGAAGGGGGAGGGCAGGACGGGGGGGAAGGATGGGCGGGGAAGAGGAGAAGACACGAGTGGGAGCAGGACGAAACGAATGGCGGACGACACGAGGGGGGATATCGTGGGCGAGGGGGTAGGGGCGGCGGCAGGGGCGGGCGGGACGACTGGCGCGGGAGGGGAAGAGGCGGAGGGGGAGGCGGAGGCGGAGGAGGGGGGCATAGGCGGCGCATGGAAGCGGGTCCCTCGCGTGTGTCCGTGCCCTGCAAGTTCTACCTGGGTGGGCGCTGCAGCAAGGGCGCGTCCTGCCCCTTCCCCCACACAGGCGTTCCGCGGACCAAGAACGAGCCGTGCAAGTTCCATGTAACGAATTCGTGCCTTAAGGGGGATGACTGCCCCTTTTCTCACGACTTGGCGCGCTTCCCCTGCAAGTATTTCCACGTGGGCACGGGGTGCTTGGACGGGGAGAGATGCAGGTTTTCCCATGGGAATGCGGAGGAGAGGGAGTTGGTCCGGTTGAGAGAGATTTGGCAGAGGGACAGGCCGTGGGGAGCAGCGGGGGACAGGCAGGGGTTCAGAGAGGTGGAGAGGGGGAAAGAGGGGGTTAGGGATGGGGTTGGGGGAGGGGGGGGGAGAAGGATGGCTGGTGCTGGTGGCAGTGTGGGAGGTGGCGGCGTTAGTGGTGCCAGTGGTGCTGGTGCTGTTGGTGGTGCTGCTGTTGGTGGTGGTGCTGCTGCTGCTCCTGTCGGTGGTGGGGGAGGGAGGGGAACGTGGGTGGTTAAGGTTGAGGGCAGTTCGGACAGGGGGGAGAGGACGGGCGGGATGGGCTCAGATGGGCGGAAGGCGGGGGGCATGGGGGGAGATGCGCGGAAGGATGGGGACTTGGGCCAAGATGGGCGGAAGGAAGGGGGCATGAGTGGAGGCGGGTGGAAAGAAGGCGAGAAGAGCGCGGGTCAGTGGGGTGGCGAGGGGAGAGGGAAGGAGGGCGGATTGGGTGCTGTGTTGGGCAGCAGGGCGAGTGAGGAGGAGCAGGAGGAGGACGATGAGGAGGAAGGCAGTGCCCCGGATCCCTACGGTGCTGCTGGGTCAGGGCCAGGCGCCCACCTGTATGGGGCTCATGGGGGCGACACACACCCATACCGGGCTCATGGGGGCGACACACACCCATATGGGGCTCATGGGGGCGACACACACCCATACCGGGCTCATGGGGGCGACACACACCCATATGGGGCTCATGGGGGCGACACACACCCATACCGGGCTCATGGGGGCGACACACACCCATATGGGGCTCATGGGGGCGACACACACCCATACCGGGCTCATGTGGGCAGCACAGACCCATATGGGGCAAGCGGGGGTGATGCAGACCCGTATGGTGCTGGTGGGGGAGGGCCAGGGCCAGGCACAGCATCAGTGCATGACTTTCTGGCACGGGCAGCAGAGTTTTTTGCCGATGGGGGAACAGGCGGAGAGGGGGATACACCGATGTATGGCAGTATGGAGTATATAGGAGAGGCAGGTGGGGGGGGTGGGCCACGATATGCGCCTGACTATGCAGCAGATGGGGAGAGAGCTTCGTATGCACCTGATTATGCTGGAGATGGGGAGAGAGCAGGAGATGGGGCGAGGGTTACATATGCGCCTGATTACGCTGGAGATGGGGAGAGAGCAGGAGATGGTGCGAGGGTCCCATATGCGCCTGATTATGCTGGAGGGGCGAGTGTACCCAGATACAGCAGCACAGGGTATGTGGGTGAAGCAGGGGGAGATAAGGCAGGGCACAATTCTTACACGTGGGAACATGGGAACGAAGGGGAGGGAGACGAAGAGGAGGAGGAAGGGGAGCAGCAGGGGCGCACTGTGGGGATGGTTGAAGTGGGGCTGGCTTCACAGGGAGTGGATACACAGGTTGATCGTTCGGTTGGGGAGCTTGAGAAGCGGCCAACAGGAATGATAGAGCCGTTGGCTTATAGGAAGAATGGAGCTGTCAGTAGCGAGGATGTTGATTCTGAGAGGACGGGTCGAGTGAGAGCGAATGTTGCTTCGCTTTTGAGCCAAGTGCTAGATAGTTAGGGGGGGCAGGCAGTCATGAGGACGACATACACGTTTTGGATATGGTAGTCAAATGGGGATAACCACACGCGCTCATTAGTCAGAGAGGGGGATATGACAAGTAGTGCGGTAGTACGGTAATACATAATGTAGAATATTGCGTAGATACATACAATGCCTGAACCCATTGGAAAGTAGCCCTACAATGCATGAGCTCTTAGTTGGAGTTGAAGTTTAATACAGATAGCACCAGTTGAATATGGCTTAGTGCAATATTGGTTAACACGTTACAAACCCGTTTCTTGAAATAGTGCTGTAAGGAAGTGCGTCCTGCTAGATAGAGATGCCACACAAAAGGGGTTTTGAGTGAGAAAGCAGAGTGCTGATTGACCTATGAATCAACTTTGTTGCACTTTGTTTTTACGTTTGCAATTCTGTTTCTTATACGCACTTGATGTGTTCTTATACGGCGGACATGCCTTCACACATGCCTCTATCCATGCAACCGCATGCCTCCACAAAAGCCTCTTTCTACGCATACTTCCATGATATATGCTTTCTCGTCTTACCAGCCTCTACATATGCGTGAACCTCTTTCACTCGAGCCACGGTAGGGTCACACACCCCGTGCGTCGGCTCTGTGAGCATGCGACCGCGTGCGAGCAAGTAAGAACACTCGCATGCTGCGTGACCGTCACATGCCCAGCGGGCGTGCTAGCATCGATATGCTTCCGCATGGCGAGATGGAGAGGCAGGGCGATCGGTTCGGACCCGGCGCGCATCGCCGGCGAGTAGAGTAGACGCGGTGCTGCATGGACGGATGTAAAGGTCCAACCCCCTACACCTGCGCGGTGCTGCATGGACGGATGCGAAGAGACCGCCTCGCCTCTGCGCGGGTTCCGCTGCGGCGACGGCGGATCGATGCGGGGAGGCATGGGAACACCGCATACCAAGTGCCGCCCCGCCGCTGCGCGGATTCCCCTGCAGCGACGGCGGCGGAAGCCGAGGTCGACCGCCGTGAGCGAGTCGGACGGACGGACCCCTCAAATTGCGAGTATACTAAGACTTGATTCCCGCCGCCTCCTCACCACGCTCGACTCGCGCGCATCTGCTGCATCCCCTAAGCTTTCAGGAAGGAGTGTCTTTTGAGTCGACTCGCGCGTGCCGCATCCCCGCGGCTTTCAGGTCGGAGTCTTCCTCGTAGCAATTCCGCTGAGATATTCCATCAGGCCATTTTTTACAATTCTTAGAAATACCCTGTAGCCCTCTCAGAAAGGAGTTTTTCTCGTAGCGAATTCCTCAGGCTTCGACAACTTGAGTTCCTTACCCGCCTGCGTGGCCCCAGAAATTCCCGCTGCAGAGAAGATCGAGCCATCTTTTGATCGATCTGATCCGAGTGGCTGCGCTGGTTTCTCTGCGACCTCCTTGCACTGGGGCGTCTTGAACGGCGGAAGTGGGAAGCAAGGCGTGGGCTGGGCTAGTCGGGCTGGTTTTCTTTGCGACCGCCTTGCACTCGGGCGCGGGCTTCTTGAACGGTGGTTGTTGGCCGAGCCGAGCTAGCATGGGGAGGCTCGAGATTGTGCTGGCGCTGCTGGGGTCGTTGCTCGCGACGCTGCTGGTGGCGCTGCTGGTGGGTGCCTTCGCGGAGGAGCAGGAGCAGGAGTTTCTTCCCGGGCAGCCCAGGGAGAGAGTCCGGGGCAGCGGAGGGAGCGTGGAGGTGTGGAACGAAGATTTCAAGCAGCTGCAGGTGAGTGAGTGAACGTCTTCCAGGCAGCAGCAGGCAACGCCTCTCAAATCTGCCTGTGCTTTGGTCACGGAACTTGCCTTTGTTTTATCTACCCAAGCCTTACTTTTTTCTTTTTTTTCTTTGCTCCACAAATTGAGGGGAACTCGTGATATGTCCCTTTCTCTTCCTGCCACATTTCCAGGAAGCGCATGTGGCGGCGGCACTGATAACAGTGGAGAGCCAGTTCCTTGAGCTGCCACTATATGCCAACTCCCCGCAGGTAACGTTTTTGAGTCGAGAGGAAATTGACACTCAAGGGTGATTGACTCACTTGACTCACTTAAAGTCGTCTCCTCACGCGCTGATAACAGTGCAGAGCCAGTACCTTGAGTTGCCACTATATGCCAACTTCCCGCAGGTACCATTGCAAACCAGCATATTTTCTGTGATTTTGTTCTCTCCCGCTTCATTCTCTGCTCTGGTGTTGGTTTGTCGCTGGGTGATTCGAAGACTTGCTCTGCTGTTGCGTGCTCTCACCACGCATTCCTCTCCCACGTGCCTTCTTCTCTCACCATGCCTTGTGCGTATTCATCAGGCCTATTACGTGTTGAAGGGCGAGGCTATGGCAGGCCTTATCAGCCCCATGGGAGCACCTACGAATCTCAGGTATGCATGCTATGAGAAGGTGCAGCAGGTCTTAAGAAGTTCTTTTCTTCTCATGGGACCATGAGAGGCCGTATCAGCACCGTCACCTGTAGGAACGGTGCATCAAGTCAACTCTATGTCTCGATACTTCCTTCTCGCTTTTTACTCTTGTTCTGCCTACATCTGTTTGCGTCCACCTCAGCAGCCATTTGTGTCTACTCTATGCAATGATCCTTCGTTTTTGCTCTGTTCAGGCGGCTGAGGGAGGGAGACGCCTTTGCGATTCCCAGGGGGTGGGCCCGTTGGATTTGGAACGACGGCCAGCAGCCGTTTCAGGTGCTCTCCGTGGCCGATACCTTCGACTCCAAGGGCGCGCCAAGTGCTGCCGGCCGCTACACCGCCTTCCACCTCATGGGCGCCCAGAAGGAGGAGTTTGGAAGTATTCTGCACGGTTTCAGGTGAGTTTACCATGGTTTCAGGTGAGTTTACCATGGTTTCAGGTGAGTTTACCATGGTTTCAGGTGAGTTTACCGTGGTTTCAGGTGAGTTTACCATGGTTTCAGGTGAGTTTACCATGGTTTCAGGTGAGTTTACCATGGTTTCAGGTGAGTTTACCATGGTTTCAGGTGAGTTTACCGTGGTTTCAGGTGAGTTTACCGTGGTTTCAGGTGAGTTTACCATGGTTTCAGGTGAGTTTACCATGGTTTCAGGTGAGTTTACCATGGTTTCAGGTGAGTTTACCATGGTTTCAGGTGAGTTTACCATGGTTTCAGGTGAGTTTACCATGGTTTCAGGTGAGTTTACCATGGTTTCAGGTGAGTTTACCGTGGTTTCAGGTGAGTTTACCATGGTTTCAGGTGAGTTTACCATGGTTTCAGGTGAGTTTACCATGGTTTCAGGTGAGTTTACCATGGTTTCAGGTGAGTTTACCATGGTTTCAGGTGAGTTTACCATGGTTTCAGGTGAGTCCACCGTGGCTTCAGGTGACATAAACTGTATTTTGACTTGGAAGCTCTATATGGTTGTCTGCTTACGTCTCTTGTTCTTATCCTGTTACCCCCTCCCTCCTCCTTCCCGTCCTCGCCCCTTCCCCCCCAATCCTCCCAACAACCAGCCCGGACCTGCTGGCACAGGCATGGGACGTGGAGGAGGGGGAGGTGCAGCAGCTGCTGCAGGCGCAGCAGGAGAGCGTATTTGTCAAAGTCACACCACAGCTTCGAGCAGAGCTGGAAAACTATCGGGAGAATGAGGAGGAGAATGAGAATGAGAATGGGAATGGGAATGAGAATGGGAATGGGAATGAGGAGGAGGAGGAGGAGGCGGAGGAGGCAGAGGAGAATGAGCGGGAGGAGGAGGAGGCATATGGGGGAAACGATCAGCCACACTTTGGCAAGGGAGCAAAACCCGGTGTGAGCATCTTTGCAGACTTCTCCTACAACCTCAAGGCCCGCCAGCCGGACATCTACGTGAAGCGCGGCGGCACGGTCACGGCAGCCAACGGGTACAAGCTACCCGCGTTCCGCAAAGTGGGCTTTGCAGTGGCGCGCTTCAGCCTGGAGGGCAACGCCATGACGGCACCAACGTGGCTGGCGAATGCAGCGGCGATGGTGTATGTGACCAAGGGCAAGGGGCGGGTGGAGATGGTGTATCCGGATGGCAGGCAGGCCCTCAGGCACGATGTGAAGGAGGGTGACTTCGTGGTCATGCCCGCTGGCTTCCCACACTCTGCTGTGAGTGGAAAGGAACGTTTGCTTGCTCACTGAAGCTGTGCTCTGCTGTGAGTGGAAAGGAACGTTTGCTTGCTCACTGAAGCTGTGCTCTGCTGTGAGTGGAAAGGAACGTTTGCTTGCTCACTGAAGCTGTGCTCTGCTGTGTTCTGCTGCAGTAGCACAGCATCTTGTCCCCTTTCCCTCTGCCCCTCTCCCCATTTGTATTTTTGCCCAGATTGCCTATGTCATTGCCATGATTCCCAAGAGCCTGTTTTTGAGGGCCGTTGATAACAGATTCCCCTGGTCTCCCCTCATTGCATGTGCAGCTGGCGTACGGGGAGGGTCTGGAGTGCATTGCCATGATTCCCAAGAGCCGCTTCCAGCAGGGGTTCCTGGCGGGGGCTAACTCGGTGTTTCGCACGCTGCCTGCCTCCGTGCAGCGCGCCGCCTTCAACGCCGATGAGAAGCTTCTGGAGAAGCTGTGCGCCACCCGGCAGAGCGAGTTTGGCATCCTGCCGCCCAGGAAGAGCGAGGGAGAGGAGGAGGAACAAGAGGAGATGCCTGTGCTCATTGAGCAGGTGGTGGGATTTTGAAAGGCTTTGCTGCGTCGTGTGGGTACGACTGGGTTCTAGTACCCACTGTTATGTACATAGTGTGATATCTGGTTGGCGTGCTTGTCTTGTCTCATGTGCTCTATATGAGGTGTTCTCGCTTCTCTAGTCTTTGTTCTCAGCAACACTTTGAACTTACAGATCAAAATAATTTGGAGTCTTATTGTAACATTTTTTCCTACAAGCGTGTTCGATATGAGATGGGAGATGGTACGGAAAAGTATACTTCGCTGAAAGATGAGGCATGTCAGATATGCAGGGTGAGCAAGGTTACAGGAGTTTCCAGTCAGCAGTGTCGTAATGCAAAAGTCGTTCGGAGACGAACGCCCTGATAGGCTTCGTATCCATCTGAGTTCGCAGAAATTCGTTTTTGCGAATTTTGGCTTCGTGAATCGTGATGCTGCAATAACCGTTTTGGCCGAGGGACACCAATAGACACCACCCTGCAACACAACCTGCTTGCGGTATTTTCTATGTTGCCTAGCCTACCGATTAGTTGCCCGTAGAACCATCAAGCGACAAAGCGACACTCACACAACTCCGACCAGACAGCAACCTAACCGTCTGAAGTGCTGGAAAACCGTTGTTCAGTAGGGCAACCACCATGTCGCTCGCGATTCGACTGCTGCATGTCGTTAGAATCTCAGACAGCCGGTTAACTGTCCCCCAAGCTCGACTGTGGGGCTGGGGTGTCAAGGAGCTGGAGCGTGGCTGACTCTGATCCGGCGAATCGTATGCAGTCGTTTGGTTTAACCGTCGATCGATCCATTCAGAGCAACGTCGCTGCCGCGCGGGCTTCCCCGCCCGTGTCGCTGTTTACACCCATGGTTGTTGCAACTCAGATCGAGCCGCCGATCGAAATCTTTCCATCCCGACTGCACATCCGTCCGCAAGTTCCGAGCCTCGCCGCGCGGCAGAGCCGCTGGGCGCCGATTCGCAGGGCGCTTGGCGCGCGTGTTCCACGTGTCGGCGAGATCCGGAGCGTCGCAGATCAGCTGGAACTCTCCCTGCCGACTATTGGCATGTCGCCCTCCGTGTCTCACGGCCGCTTGCAGTGCGCAGCAGCGGCCGCTCAAAGCGGATGATCTCAGCGGGAATGCCAAGCGGGGGCGAGGAGAGGAACAGGGTGGCAGTGGCGATGTGAGGGGAACGTTTTCTGCAGGCAGCATGGCAATCGACAGTGACTCTTGCCGTGCCGTCCTGACTGCTCACCTCCTCCATTGCCGCAGCATTGATGGCTCCTCAGCAGCAACACCAGCAGCTGCAGCAGGAAGGGTGATTCCTCCTCCATGCCAGAGGAGAGAAACCCTCTCTTAGCATCATCCGTGCCCCGCATCACCCGGTCTATCCCCTCCTATAAAACAGCCATGATGGGCCGTCATGAAGTCATCAGCTCGCCCAGTGCTCCCACTACTCCTCCCACTGAGGTATTCACCAAACCTCTCACGCTTCTCGGCTCTCTCCTGTTATCTCCGCGCCTCTCCTCATGGCGACGGCTGGGATGCGCGTGCTGGTGCTGGCGGCGCTGGCGGTGGGGCTGCTGGCGGCGGCGGTGAGTGGAGCGCGGGACGCCATGAAGGTCGCCAGGGGCCTCGTCCCTACGGATGGCGCCGCGCCTGGCGGAGTCGCTGGCGCGGCGGGGCAGCAGAGGAAGGGCGCGCGCATTCTGGCGGCTGAGACCTTCGCTCACCACGAGCCTCTGCCCGGCTACCTCGACCACATCCCCCGCCGCCAGGCCCTCGCCACCTGTACGCAACGTTGCTCCCTCTCTCCCTCTCTCTTCCCTGCCTTGGATCCTTAGCTCTGCTGTTCCTTTCTTCTCACAGCCCGTCCCTGCTCCCCTTGCCTCTCACTCCTCAGCTCCCCTTGCCTCTCATTCCTCTGCTCCCCTGGCCTCTTTTGTTCTGCTCCCATTGCTCTGATTTTTCTGCTCCGCTCGCCTCTCATTCCTCTGCTCCCGTTGCCTCCTCCTCTGTTGTGTGCTTAGTGTACGGTGCATGGCGGTGGCAATCTGGATTCTGATTACATGCTTCCCTTCCTCTTTCCACCCTTCCACATCTCCTCCCTCCTCCCAGCATGTGGGCGCACAACAGTGACGATCCGCTCGCAGAGCCATATTGCTATCACATTGCCATGGTGTGGTGTGGTGTGGTGTGGTCCCATGTGAACATTATTTTGTATACTTCGTGGTTCCGTTAAATGAATGTACGGTATTACATGCACCACCAAAATTCCTTGCGCATAATGCCTTCCTGCAAGTTGGTTGCATGGGATGGGATTGTGTGGGTAGTAGGATCTGCTTATAGGTAGCAGGTTTATTACCTAAACCGGATCCGACTAGAGACCATAACACATGCATCTCACATACCGTGATTCCACCCCTCTCCTCTTTCCACCCCTGTCCTCTTTCCACCCCTGTCCTCTTTCCACCCCTGTCCTCTTTCCACCCCTGTCCTCTTTCCACCCCTGTCCTCTTTCCACCCCTGTCCTCTTTCCACCCCTGTCCTCTTTCCACCCCTGTCCTCTTTCCACCCCTGTCCTCTTTCCACCCCTGTCCTCTTTCCACCCCTGTCCTCTTTCCACCCCTGTCCTCTTTCCACCCCTGTCCTCTTTCCACCCCTGTCCTCTTTCCACCCCTGTCCTCTTTCCACCCCTGTCCTCTTTCCACCCCTGTCCTCTTTCCACCCCTGTCCTCTTTCCACCCCTGTCCTCTTTCCACCCCTGTCCTCTTTCCACCCCTGTCCTCTTTCCACCCCTGTCCTCTTTCCACCCCTGTCCTCTTTCCACCCCTGTCCTCTTTCCACCCCTGTCCTCTTTCCCCCTTGCCCACATCTCCTCCCTCCTCCCCAGCGTGTGGGCGCACGACGGTGACGATCCGCTCGCAGTACCTGGGGCCGTACGACCTGCACAACGACATCTACAACATGACCTTCTACAACGGCTGCGCCTACAACGTCACCAGCCCGCTGCGCGTGTGGCAGTGCTTCAACTTCGGCAACGTGTGGGAGGGCATCCTCGACAACCCCGATCCCAACCCCTCGCAGTACCAGCAAGGCGAAATCTTCGTGCAGACGACGCCGGGGTACTGTGAGATGCGCATGAACCGCGGTGCGAGCGGCACTCTGCAGATGCTCCCCGGGGAGACGGTCAACATTGTGTATGCGTACTTGTGGGACTTCCGGCCCTGCGTGCAGGAGCTGCGCTTCGGCAACGGCAACAGCTACTCCATGACCAACACCACCGAGTGCCAGCTCGCTGCTGTCATTTAGACCTTTCGTGTGACTCACGTGGCTCGTCCTCAGAAAGTTGAGGGGGTGATAACATGCAGATGATGGATGTGACTTGTGGTGCAGTAGAAATGTGATGTGGAGAGTTGGTGGAGGGGGAGGAGGTTGGGTGGGGGATAGGTAATAATGTAAAAGATTGTAATTATTTATGGAAATTTCGTGTATCCTAATCACGTTTTGATGCTTTTTTTCAATGCTGATGTGGTAACACGTTCGCCTCGCGGGATTCGAAATAGCCTCTATCCAACAGTCGCAAGTACTCTTCACAAGTCCAACCTCCAACCTCCACAAGGCGAGGCTGGCGAAATCGGCGTTCGCATCGCCACACGCACTCCAATCTTCGCCAGTCACCATGAACGTCCCGCGCGGACCCAGCCGATTCAGTTCTCCGAGAGACCAGGTAACTAGGAAACTGGGTCAGCCGAGTAAAGCTTCCCTTAGTTCTTACCCCGTCACTTCCGCTTACGACTCCCACGGTTTGCAGCCACTATAGCGCCACGAGTCTCAGCGAATGTCGCAAACTCTCAGAACGTGCATGATTGATTCTCGTCATATCTCTCATTCTCACCTGCGCTTCCCGTGCTCCTGACGGTCGCAAACTCCTCGATTTTACCAGTCGGCGAATTTCGTTAAGTGATTCGTTTTGTATCGAGGATGTCGCGTCAGGCGTCGCCAGCGCGACAGCCGACGACAGGGTCCTCGACGCAGTAGGCGATGCGACAAGCGAGGCGAACCCTTGCGTCGTCCACGTGGCGTTCGATCCGCTGTTAGCGGAGATGGAGCAGCAGCGCGACGACCGCGCGTGGCAGATGCTGATGGGGATGGGCAGTTGAACTTGAGTGAACTCAACAGGTGAGTCGCTTTATGAGTCGACTCAATAAGGGTCGAACGCGGCACGTGGGGAGGGAGCTTGAGGAGCAGCGGAGGGAGCTGGAGCAGCAATTCTGCCTGGCAGATGCTGATAGGGATGGGCAGTTGAATTTGAGTGAGCTTAACAGGTGAGTCGTTGGGATGGCGATGGAGAGTTGGATTGATTGACTACGGATCATTTTCTTTGTTATGATGAATAGCTTGTAACCTGCTCAGAATTCTGTTACCCCCTCCTCTTGACTGCCACTCCCCTCTCTTAGACTTAGAGGCATGAAGTTGTGTGGGATTAGGTCAAGGGGGGGGGTACAAGAAGAATGTCGAGAGAAATATTGTACCCCCTAGCGCTAACCCCCATACAGCCTAGATAACCTAAACATATATCTAACATATATAAATATAACTTGACACACCCCCATATGCGAAATGGGGGATAGCCAGAGCAAGCAAAGGTCACAAGACCAGTCAAGAGAAGAAACAAAACACAGCTCAGGGTGGATCACAAAGTCACCACACACACTGAGCACAAGCAAGAGGCCACAAGGCCAGTTCACATGCAGAGATGTATATGCAGTAATAGCACAGTGATCACTACCTAGCAAGAGCAAGCATGCAGGTATATATATGGAGATCACAGTACAAGCAGAGTCTACAGCAAGTGTGGAAACGTAGGCACAAGGCCCAACAAAGTACAAAAGCGCTGATGATCACCAGACGGAAGCGCCTTGGTGAATATATCAGCAGTGTTGGCCCGAGTGGCCACGTGAGCAAGACGAAGCTGACCCCGCTGCTGCAACTCTCGAGCTAGGAAGTAACGCAGAGCGATGTGCTTCGTTCTATGCTCCAGTCTGTGCTCCTCACACAAGGCAATGGCGGCCTTGTTGTCGACGTACAGCACTGGAGGAGAACGAGGCCGCTCTCCCAGGTCGGTCAGCAGGTAGGTGAGCCAGCGTAACTCCTGTGCAGCCATGGCTGTGGCGTAGATCTCAGCCTCACAACTGGAGCTGAGAACTGAAGACGAGCGTGTAGAACGCCAAGAAACAGAGCCAGAGCCAAGGCTGAAGGTGTAACCCTGTGACGACCGCTGCGTAGCCTGGTCGTCAACCCAAGAAGCGTCTGAGTGCCCAGTGAGGACAACTGCGCTCCGCCCTCCAAGCACGAGCCCCATGCCCGATGTACTGCACAAGTAGCGTAGTACCCTCTTAGCAGCATCCATGTGCACCTTTCGGTGCCGACCAGGAGCCACGTAGCGAGCCAGAAGGCCAAGAGGGTACGCAAGGTCAGGACGAGTGCAGGTCATCAGGTACATGAGGCAGCCCACTAGCTCTGGGTAAGGACCACTCGGCTCTACGGACTCGTCCGAAGGTGGAGCTGAGAACGAGTGACCTGTAGCCAGAGGAGTGGCCTGTGCCGAGGACCAGGTGAAGCCGAAGCGCTGAAGGACCTGCTGCACCATGTGTGACTGAGTCAGTGTGATGGTGCGGCGTGCTCTGTCCCGGGTGATCTGCAAGCCAAGGTAACTGCGCAGCTCACCCAGGTCTGTGCACGTGTGTCTCCTCTGCAGCTCCGACTTCACCAGAGCGAGAGCCTCAGTGTCAGCAGTGGCAAAGACCAAGTCGTCGACGTACACGAGGATGTAGAACGGCGGCAGCGAAGTGTCGGTGCGCAGAAACAGCGACGGGTCAGCAGTCGACGGAGCAAACCCAAGAGCAGAAAGTGTAGTCCTCAGTGTGTCGTGCCACTCACGTGGCGCCTGGCGGAGACCGTAGACCGGCCGCCGGAGGCTCCACTGGGTACCAGGAGGGAACGACCCAGTGAAGCCAGGAGGGCGGCGCAGCCAGATCTCCTCGTGCAGACTGCCCTGCAAGAAAGCTGTGCTGAAGTCAAGAGAGTGAAGCTCGTAGTCACGCTGAGCGGCAACGTGCAGCAGTACCCGAAGAGTGGTCATCTTCGGGGTGGGGGAGAAGGTCTGAAAGAAGTCTACTCCCTCTCGCTGACTGAAACCTCGTGCAACGTAACGAGCCTTGAAGACAGGCGGAGAACCTGGCGGCCGCTTCACCCTGAAAATCCACATGCCACTGACGATGTTCGCCCCAGGAGGGGGAACCTCGTCGACGTAAGTGCCTGTGGACTTCCAGGATGCCATCTCTGCGTCCATGGCTGTCTGCCACTGAGAGGAGTACTCACCCGCGATCGCCTCAGCGTAAGAGCGCGGGGTCGGGATGTCTGGAGCATCCGGGTCTCCCTCAGGGGCAAGCAGCATGGACACGAGATGAGGCGCAGCGGCTGCAAGACACTCGAGGTCCTCCTGCCTGTCCTCAAGGACGTCCGTGCCAAGAGCACACTCACCCCCGACGGACGGAGGACAGACAGACTCAGACTCAGCAACAAGACTAGCGGCGTAGTCTAGACGACAGGCAGCAGCAAAGTCAACAAGCTCAGCGACGAAGGCAGAGGCAGCAGCAGACTCAAATGACGGGTCAGTGACAACTGTGGCTAGCAGACGCGTGACAGTAGAGTGAGCAGCACGGGTGCGGTCAGACTCAGGCTCAGGAACGGTAGGCAGAGAAGACGCAGGAGGGGACGGCAGGGGAACACGCTGCGGAGGAGAGGAAGGACGATGGACGACGAGGTGGGTGCCGGAGACAGCCGGCAGACGCGAACGAGGAACACGACGACCGGAACGACCAGGACGGACAGGCGAGACAGGACGCGACGCTGGCTCACGCCGCTCAGTAAGACCCCCTGTCCGCTCAGTGTAAGGAGAAGGAGCAGGGAGTGGTGAGCCAGGCTGTAACGGAAGACCAGTAGACGAAGGGAGACTAAGAACCTGGTGAAGCACAGAGTCAGGCGGTGGCTGAGACGACGGAGACAGAGAAGCAAAGAACAGGCGCGGCTGTGCAGTAAAACCAGCACCAGTAGCTCCAGTACCCCCAGCAGCTCCAGCACCTCCAGCAGCTCCAGAACCCTCAGCGCCAGCTCCTCCAGGACCAGCTCCACCAGCAGCAGCACCCTCAGCACCGGCACCTCCAGTCCCAGGGACTCCAGCCGCAGTGTCTCCAACAGCAGCACCCCCAGGCTCAGCACCTCCAGCCCCAGCAGCTCCAGTACCTCCAGTACGAGCACCTCCGGGACCAGCACCACTCCCAGCTCCAGTGACTCCAGCAGAAGTACCTCTAGCGGCAGAGCCCCGAGCTCTAGAAGCGCGACCCTGACGGCGACCGTACCAGTCGTGCAGCTGCTGTGAGGTGAGAGGCACACGCGGACGAAGGCGGCTACTCCAAGGAGACCGCACAACAGCAGACTCAGAACCCTCAGCGCCAGCACCCGCAGCAGCTCCAGAGCCTCCAGCTCCAGTACCCTCAGCAGCTCCAGAACCTCCAACTCCAGCACCCGCAGCAGCTCCAGAACCTCCAGCAGAAACAACTCCAGTAGCAGAGTCACCAGCTCCAGCGCCTCCCGCAGCAGGGCCCCTAGCTCCAGCAGCGCGACCCTGACGGTCAGCGTACCACTCACGCAGCTGCTGTGGGGAGAGAGGGAGTCGACGACGAGAGTGCAGCGGCGAGGTACCAGCGGAGCGACTACGGAGACGGCCGCCCCAGGGAGACTGCTCACCAGACGCCTCAGCGCCCCCAGGTGCAGCACCCCCAGACTCAGTACCCCCAGGCTCAGCACCCCCAAACTCCTCACGCCCAGGCTCTGCACCTCCAGTCCCCGCACCCCCAGGCTCCGCACCCCCAGGCTCCGCACCCCCAGGCTCCGCACCCCCAGGCTCAACACCCCCAGGCTCCGCACCCCCAGGCTCCGCACCCCCAGAAGCAGCACCCCGAGCAGGACCTGAGTCACCAGTGACCTCAACCGGCGCAGTCAAGGGAGGAGGGTCTACCTGAGACACACCTGAAGGAGCAGGACCGGGAGCGGGGAGGGGGTCTACCTGGGGAGCACCTGGAGCGAGGAAGAGCGGCGGGGGGGGGAGAGGGGCAGTGCGGTAGGGGAAGAGACGGTAAAAGGGAACCGACTCGTCGAACGTGACGTCCTGAGAGGGGAAGACACGGCGCGAGGTGGGGTGGTAAAACTGCCAACCGGGCGCGTCAGGGACAAAGCCAAGGAAGACA